TCACTTGCAAAAGATTATTTTAATCCGCTTTTTTATTTTTTGAATGAAAATGTCCAACCTCAATAAGGATACTCTTTTCTTGATATTTGAAGAATTACGAGATGATTCTAAATCCCTCTTTTCATGTCTAATGGTTAATAGAATTTGGTGTGAGACAGTGGTCCCAGTTTTATGGAGAAATCCCTGGTCCTATAACGGTATTAATTATAGAAATAAAAGCTATTTATTCATCATTCTTGCTAATTATTTATTTGATGATATTAAAAAATTCATTACGGAGCAAGGAATTTACTTGAATTCAGTTGTAGTTAAATCACTCCTGTTTGATTATTTATCCTTCTGCAGAAGTATTAATGTAGATAATTTAAATAGTATATTTTCTATTGGATCATCCTTAGCTTATAATCAATTTTTTATGCAACAAGAATTTTACTCTCTCTTTATGAGGAAGTGTCCGGAATTAAAGTATTTTGATATGAGATCAATCCAACATCAAATATTTTACTTTCCAGAAGCTAAAGTCCGTCTTGAATCACTTTGTGAATTAAAATGTGATACGTATGTTAATTCTTCATATTTTTATGGATTATCACGTTTTTGTCAATGTATACAGAAACTTGTCATTTTTAATATAGAAGACTCGATACCTAATCATGGAATTGTTAGGTTAATTGAGGTTCAGAAAAATTTAAAACATTTTGAATGGAAGGATAATTTTTACAATTATGATAATTTTGAAGATCCTTATGAAGAGATTCTTCTTGCACTGGAAAAGAAAGCAGAAAGCCTCAATTATTTAAGTATTATTTTCCAAGATGTAGAAGACTATGAACACGTTTTAATACAAAGGATACTCCCAAAATTTTATAAATTAAGAGTATTATTTATTAGTGCTTCTCTTTGGTTTACTGATCAGCAACTAAATCAATTAAAAATGCAAGTTTATCATGAACTTGAAATCCTTTATATGGATGAAAATGAACTAAATTTTTATTCTAATATAATTGAAAATAGTGGAGGACGTCTCAAGAAAATTTTATTCAGACCTTATGATATTATCAGCTCTGAAATTGAAGACTATCATGACTTTGATGAGAATTCTCTCAATTTTATTCGTAAAGTTTATGAAAATTGTCCTTCTATTGAATATTTGTCAATTTTAATTTCGCCAACAAAGGAGAATTTCTCTGAACTTGAAAAATTGCTAAAAATTTGTCAAAATTTAAAGTCATTATTAATAGTTATATTAGATAATTATGATGATACACACGAAGACTTTTTAGGATATGGGAATGAATTATTAGAAATATTAATTAGATCTGCACCAATTAATTTTAAAGAAATTAGATTTGGTAGGGAGTTCAAATTTTCTTTAAAATCCTTGGAAAAATTTTTAGAAAATTGGAGAGGTAGACGTGCACTTTCTCTATTTACTCTTGATTCTATTTTCACAAGCGATGATTATACAAAACTAATTAATAAATATAAAGATGACAAAGTAATCAAAGATTTTAATTATTGCATATATGGAATTAATTATTATATAGATGATCTGATTACTTGATCATTTAAATACTATGAATTAATTATAAGCAAAGTAAAAAATTTCTACTCTATGTATTTTAATATATTTATTTTATACCATGTATGAGTTCTACTAAAAAATAAAGCAGGAAATCTTAATTGCACTTAATTTTAATTATGAGGTATCATAAATGAGCAAATAAATTTTAATCGAATGAATTTTTTTATTCATTTATATTGTCCATTAAATGAATGAAGTTTCTTTCTTTTTTTTTTTAAAGAGAAATAAAGTACAACAGGTTATCGCAAGAATTTGCATAATGTTAGTTTTTATCATGCTTACAGTATGACAATTAGGTTCCTTTTTTTTGAATTTGAATATTTAATAACGCAGTTGGAAGAATAATAATTCTGGAAAAATTCAAATGATTAATGAAATTGATAGATTCATCCAACATTAATTATGTTCTTTTATTTTTTTAAAAAAATTAAAAATGATATTAACATTTTCTTTTTTCTTTTTTTGTATAATACCGGTCAGGTTACTTGGGCAAGTTTCAGAGATAATCAAACTTCCGAAACTTTATGTTATTATCTCTAGTTTCTTTGGAACAGCATTTTGGAGAACCTAGGTAAGTTTTGGAAAAGTTTTCAATAACTTTTTTTAAAAATGTTTCATTACTTTTTTTTTATTGTTTCTTATATAAAACTAGTACCTTATTAATGGGTGCTATTGAGTACTATCCAGTATAGTATCCCTTAAATACATATTTAGATATGGGAGATAAGCATATTTTATATGGTTGGTGAGTTTTCAAATTTGAAACTTTTTTTTAAAAAAAACATTATCAGTAAGACGTTAACGAAATATTTAAAATAAATTCATACATTAAATACAAATACCCAGTTAAAATCTATAAAATATAAATATTTCCTTTCTATTCCACCATTTGCATAATTAAATATTAATATATATTCTTTTATTAAAGGACTTTGTGTAATACCATAATATTTAACCAAAAATAATCTCGCATCAAGCTGACAAAATGATTTTAACTAAATTATAAAATGTATCAATTAACTTTAAATACATTGCAAAAATACAACATGTAATGTTAAGTATTACCTCACTTAAATAATATTTACTAGGTCCAGGAGTAGTCTGTTGTACATATTTCTTCAGGAGTTCAGGACTGGAATTAAGATAATGTCAGCCAGCATCTAAAAAGAGTAATAAAATTTTAACCAGAATTATCATAAAAGAAAAGATCTACATGATTATTTTGCCCCAGAAGAAATTGGGTTACGATCTTGATTCTTGACTATGTCAAATAACCATGTTGACCACCATTTATTACATAATTCACAATCTATTTTTTTATGAACACAACTCGTAATAAATATTTTTTATTAAATGACAAAATATTTGTGATTACAGAACGATATATTTCACATCATTCTTGAATATTCATTGTGTTAAAATTTCATGTTCAATATATTGAGCAGTATTCTTGCTCAAGTACAGGAGTGTTTAGTTCAATTCCACAATAATTACTACATTTATTCATTCTCATTATTCATAAAAGAAATAAATAAAGCAGATACAGGACAAGATTTTAATCTTGGCCTAGAATCAAATATATTGTTACGCATATCTGAATTCATAATGTTATATTTCAAAGTAAGTAGTTTATAAAAGTTGAACGTAAAAATTATACAAATGATATTTAATTCAATATTTCCTTTTAGTGGTGTATTGAACTTATTCACGAAGTTAAAATTTTCTAAGCAACGTTTCCGATACATATTTTGCCTTTAAGTTGTTCAAATTATAAAAAAAATTGTAGAATATATGATTTCATGTTGACAATCATTGTTATATTAATTTCTCCACATGCTGATCCAAGTAAAAAAAATTTTTACTGCACGATTTTCATTAATGAAGTTTTATTTGGTAAAATCACATTCTTGTACTGCAGCCTATCATTAAATAATCTGTCAGATACCCTAATTAATTTCAAAAAAAAAAAATGAAAGGAAATTGATAATTTACCTTCTTTCTATCATACGAGCTTAAAAATAAATATGAAAATCTTTGATATATAATAATGATGACGTTAATAACTGTTCATAATGTTAGGGACGCGTAGTGTTAGTGTGTTACTGAGTTTTATGTCGCATAGTTAGAATAGTTTCGTTTCTGTATTTTTCTGTATTTTTATTTGTATTTACTTTATTACTTTATTGATATGATGTATGTTCACGTTGCGTGGTGGTCATAATATTATCACGAGGTGATTATTTTCGATTTAAAAAAAGCTAAAACAGCAGTTACTAATGTTTATCTGTTTAAATCTCGTTACAGCAAATCAATCGTATCATGTGATTAATAATGTACTGCTGCGGTAAGATTTAACTGCGGTTGATATGCAATTTCATTTAATAACAAATATAGAAAATTCATTTATTCCTAAACTAAGGTGGCGTCAGGAATTAAGTCGGTCTTTAATATCTTTCCAGTTAATTTTATTTATTGTGAGTTGTGTATTTATGTTTTTGTTTGTAATAATGTAGAATATATTAAGAAAAAGAATCTGTTTATGGATTTTTTTCGCTTTATTATCAATTCTTTTATCCGCTTTTAAGTATATTAAATTTGTCAGCAACATATCCCTTTCCAACAAATTCATTAACATTAAATTTGATACTTAAATCATCATCATCTTGTTTTATTTATTTGTGATATTTATTTATGATATTATTTATGGTAATATTTTTTTTTTGATAACTTTCATAGTAAATAAATAATTACGCTTATCATTTTTACCATTTTGTTAGTACATGATTACGTGTACATGATCATCATTTTTTTTTGAAAAGAATCACGTTTTTTTTTTAATTTTTTTTTTTTAAAAAAAATATATGTATATATTAACCTGCCATCTGTAGAGAAGCTAACTGCGGATCAATACTTGAAGCTTGAAGCTTGAAGCTTATGCTTAAGCCTACACTTAAGTATATGCTTCAAGCTTCAAGCTTAAATATAAAAATGCTGGAAAAGTTTAAGCTATATTTGGGCATCAAACTAACCATATATTGAATTTCATGGTTAGCACGATCAACAAATTTATTAAAATAATCCTATGATTAAAGCTAGATACATTACACGGGCTTTTCGGCAATCTTATCTTCAAGCTAATAAAAATAATGATCATATTAATAGTCATTTTTTCTTATTTGGGAAATTTAGGATAACATTTGATACTATTAGACATTCGAAAAAAGAAAAAATAAAAACCCATTTTTTAATATATTTCTTCTTTCTTTCTTATTTGGGAGCCATTAGTAGATTCTATATAAATGTACGGTACATTACTATTTTCATTCTTTTAACGTTCGCTCCCTATTTTGTTTCTTACGTTAAAAAAATCATTTTAAAATTGATTTTGCTGTGCTTTTTCCTATCTTATTTTATACCTGTTCAATAAATACAATAAATATGTCATGTGAATTTGAATCTGAAGTTTTAAAAATAAATATGCCATATAAATTTGAATCTGAAGTTTTAAAAGCGCTTGAAAAGTTGCTTAAAACTGAAACTAATTATGATGTCATCATTCATGTCGGGAAAGAATCGGATACTAAGGAATTTCATGCGCATTCTGGTTTTCTATGTTGTAGGTCCGACTATTTTAATTCGATCCTTTCTACAAAAGATACTATTAAAAAGGATGGTAAATATGTAATTAATAAGCCAAATATTACTCCTCAAGCTTTCGATGTTATTATCAAGTAATTATATATTATTTCATTATATTAATAGGATTATATAGTTACATAACTTTTATATTAATTTAATATTTTTTATTTTTTTTCTATTATTCAAAATATAAATATAGGTATTTTTATACTGGACATGTTGATATGACAAATAATACTGGTGTTGAGATTTTAAACATGATGACCGCTTTTGACGATTTAAAATTGAATCAATTAATTGAACTTGCCGAAGATTTCCTTATTGATCATCATCAAAATTTCTTACAAAATGATCCGATTAAAATTCTTCAAATGGTTTATTCTTATAAAATCTTTAATAATATACAAAGATTATGTTTGCAAAATATCTATTCAAAACCTAATATTTTATTTAATTCTGTTAAGTTTGTTAATTTACCTGCTCCTCTATTGGAGATTATCTTGAAACAAGATGATTTAATTTTAGATGAAATTGAAATTTGGGAAAATTTGATTAAATGGGGATTAGCGAAAGACAAAATTCTTGATGAACACGTTTCGAAATGGAATCGAGAAAAATTTAATATTTTTGAAAGAATCCTTCATAATTTTATGCCATTAATTAGATTTTATGATATATCTTCAGAAGATTATTTTAATAAAGTTAGACCTTATGAACAAATTTTATCTAAGGAATTACGAGAAGATATTTTAAAATTTCATATGGTTCCTGGATTTAAACCATCATTCAATAATTATACGAAAAGACGTTCAAAAAAGAATATTAAGTCTTCATTAATTAACACAGTCACAGTTGATTCTTTATTTATTAATAAAGAACATGTTGCACTTTTTGCAAATTGGATTAATTGGATTGAAAGAAAAGATAATTACAAGTATAATAATAATATATCATATGATTTTAATCTTATTTTACGTGGTAGTCGGGATGGTTTTGATCCTAAATCATTTCATAATAAATGCGACAACAAAGGAGCAACCATTACAGTTATAAAAATTAAAAATCCAAATCAAAGTAGGAGTGATCAAATATATGGATATAATATTCCCATTGATTGGGATAATCAAATAATTGGAGGATATAATCCCCTTGATTGGAGTGGACGAGGCCGTTATAGTACTCCAGATAGTTTTTTATTTTCATTTAATGATAATAGAAATGTTGAATCAGGTATAATTAGTAGACCAATTAACATTAATAGTACTGTAATAAGTGATCCAAATTGGGGACCAATATTTGGAGCATATACAAGTTATGAAGATAGTCATGATCTATGTATGAAAACAGATGGACAATGGAGTTCTTATCCAAATTCTTACACCGATATTAATATTCCAAGAAATTATTTTGATATTGTTGATTATGAAATATTTCAAGTTAAGAAAAGGATTACTTAAATTATAGGAATATCAATGTATATTTAAATTAGATGATATATATTAATTTGAAAATCAAGCTATTTTTTTATTACTTTTACTCATTCTTGACTTTGAATATATTTACATTATATTTAAGGATATAAAAATTTAATACATGATATAACTACTAAAGCTCGTACTCGAATCAGAATTTGAGTCACGGGAAAAGAAAACTGACAAGATTAAACTCTAAACCAACTAAAATTTAAAAATAAATAATTTCTTTACGATAAAGATTTTCTATTTTTTTTTACTAATTTTAATATTAACTATTAAGATGGAATCTTTTAAAGTAATATTAAACGCAACAGATCCAGAATACCCGGGATCAAACTTAAAAAACTGGAATTAGCATGGGATTGTTTGACGCAACGCTAGACTCGGAAGCGTAGATTAAACGTGATGCAGGTCTGGAAACGTGGGTCGAACCTTGAAAAACATAACGCAGGCACCAAAAGCCTAGATTGGAAACTAATTTAAAAATTCAAAATAAATGTACATTATAAATAATATAAAATATTTACTGCCCTGACACTGCCCTGCTGACATAGATTAATCATATCAGATATGCTAAACTCTTTTTATATATGTTTACTTACTAATTGGATACCAGTTCACTTTTACTAGCATATTGCTTATGTTGGCGTTTGTATTGTTTACTTATGTCTATATCTAAATTAAGTTAAGATTCCTTTACACAATTTTACGGATGACTGCGGTTCGAAATAATCATCGATATTATTTTATTTAAAAAAGTATACGTAATTTAGTAAAACATGGCAATACTTCACCTTCATTGAAAAAATATAATAGTGAAATAGTTTGAAATACGCAATATTATAGAAGAAATTTCCAATATGAACACTTATTAGAGAAAAAGTATAAAATAATCTTATAAACAAATTCACAAACAAAAAATCTGGAAACATATGATTAAAATATTTACTGTTAATTTCCATTTTTTTTAAAAAAAAATATATTTTTTTTCTTTTGTTATTAATATTAATATTAATTATTAAGACGAATTGTTTAATTCATTATTAACGTTCAGAACCACAATATTCATTTAAACGTGACGCAGATAATCTGAACGTGATGCCGGAAGTTGATTATGATATTTATTACACTTAAAACAAGTACTAGTGCAACATTTGACCGATGTAAATAAAATATTTTGATAAAATTTGACATGGTAATTAAATTAAATGTGCCTAATATTATATTACTTAATATATATATCATATATGATATAGTTAATGTAATCAATCCATTATCAAAATAATATACAATCTGTTAACGTTATAAAATTTGACTCATCTCATAATAAAAAATCCATTTTTTCCATAGAAAAAAACTTCTTTATTAAGATATCTATTGTCAATTGTTGTATTAAATAAAACTTTTATGGTATAATATTTTATATAGTAAGCATATTTATTGTCATTTATCACAAATAAAAATAAAAAAAAAATAAATCAATCATTCTATCAAATTTATTATCAGGTCTCGCTAATCAAGTCAATCAAGTCCCTGTTAAATAACAATATTATAATGGGGGTCTTCACAAAAAACGTGATTGAGATTGAGATTGAAATTTAGTATAGAATTTCAATCTTACTAACATATTAAGATTGAAAATTCTATATGAAATCTCAATCTCAATCTCAATCACGTTTTTGTGAAGACCCCCAATATACAGTATGTATATATATTTATTTATTTATCGATTTTTTTATATTCTTAATACCAGTTGTTAAGAGCGAGGAATAAATTTCAATACGTGGTAATATCACGTGATGTTGCTATTAAGCTCAGCCCGCACTAGATTAATTTGATCTACGAAAAATTTAACATAACGGGGAGTATATATCCAAAAATCACATAATTATATCCAATAATTAAATTAGTTAGACATGATACAACTCATAATTTGTACTATATTTACTACAATTGTGTAATTGTGTTGATGAGAATTCTTGATGTATTTGATGACATTTATGAGTTTAAAAAATCACAAAAATAAACTATTTTGTTCACTTCTTTTTTCCAAAAATTATTAACTTGTCATATTTTTCCAAAAATTACTGACTTGCCAAAAAGACACTGACTCATCATTTTGTTTCAAAAGTTACTACATTTTGTTCCAAAGTTATTAACTTGATTGACTTGACATTTCCTTCCCAAAATTATTATTCTAATTTATCATTTTCCCCAAAAATTACTAAATTGTCATTTTTTCCATAAAGTTATTACTAAAAATTACTGACTTGTCATTTTTTCCAAAAATCGCTGACTCAAAGGTGATTTCAAGAATGATGTTCTTGCCACATTGTATGAAATTGCCTACAAGGATGATCCCAAATATGACCATCTAAACCATTTGGATAGATTGTTCGTTCTTCCATACTGTATGAGTTTTTGCCATTAAATCAATCTAATAAAGTTTCTTTGAATAAGAACTACTGATTCTGAAGGAATCTGTTATTGTAAAAAAACTCAGCTTTGTTATATATTGAGATTTACTACTTAATGAATATATAATTAACTATCCTTTCTATTAATAGTTTCCACTTCCACATGGCAAAGATGAAGTTTGTGGAAATGAATTCAAATATGAAGTTTTGTTGGTACTAGCGGATCTGAAGATAAAGTAATAATGATTGAAACAAAGTATAGAGAGGTAAATATTATTGGATTTATTAAATATAAGTGTCAAAAGATGAAGTTCAATGAGGTATATGTACAACTTAACCTTAAAAATGTATGAGCTTCCATTTGAAAGTCATAATAAGATTCAGATATTCAAAAATTTTTAAATTCAACATGTTCAAATATCTAATTTTGCATGATTTACAAATAAATAAATATTTGAATATCCTAATTTTTAATGGAAATTCTAGTATTAATTGAGGCCTCACTAATTCCTTAACCTCATTCAGATTCAAGAAAAAAAACAAAATTTCAAAACAGAATTAATGATTGATCTTCATGAAGCATCAGTTATTTGTGTCAATAGAGATAGTTCAGAAGAAAGTTTGAACTGGATGAACTGGATTACAATAATGGAGAAAATAGAAACATATTGAAATCAGGGAAATTATACTGCCAAGTAAGCTTTATTTTATGTATTTATTGCATCTTCAAATATTCATACAATCCCAATTTTTAGTACTATTTAATTGACTACTTTGATTTTTATAGTATAACATCAAAATTATTATCTGACTTTTTTCCAAATATGTTAAATGCATTTCCAAAAAATATGCATTTTGTGTTCCAACACTTTCTGAAGAAGTGGCAAAATTTTTTGATGATGCATTTTTTCCAGTTTTAACATAATTGCAATGCCTAGAAAGAATAATTTATCTGAATTGAATATACATATATACATTTTATAATATTATTCCTTTACTTGATGTGGTGATAGGGAAGGATAATTATTATTAGCATCAGGAGTTTAAAAAGGGTGTAGATTTGCAAAATTACACGTATGTAAAAAATCACGCAAATTCACGACACCTACGTGGGTATACGGGCGTGTAAAATCACAAATATTCTTAATAATGAGAATTCCTATATTAATTTAATAAAAAAATTTTTGTATTTTTAAATATAAGGGAATACACGATAAAATTCTTCTCTTCCTTTCTTTTTCTTCTTGTTCCCTTTATTTCTCTCTCACCTCTCTCCTTTCCTTCATTTGTTATTTCTTTCCTTAATATTTTTATTTACTCGGCATAATTTTTTTATATTTATTTATTTATTTTTTTTTTGCTTACCTTAAGGAATCGAACTGATTACCTTGAGTTATTTTATTATATATCATATCTCGCAACTTAACCACTATGCTATTTAACTTTTTTTATAATTTACAGTATTATATTTTATATTTATCTTAAAAATCATACTTTTTGAGTAAGTTACGCAAAATTGCATATTTACATATTTTTTTATATCATAAAATGGTGTAACTATCTATTTATATAAATCCACACTACTTTTTTAAACACAAATTTATCAAAATATTTCGAATTGTTGTATTTATGTATGGATTGCTTAAAATCATATGTTTGTACAATTTTTTAGCATGTGAATATCCGAAACTACTTGTTTATGTAAATTTACACAATTTTTTTTTAGATGGAAATTTGTTGAAATATTTTAGACTGTGATTTTATATATAGAATACTCAAAATTATGTATTTATACAATTTTTCAGAATATAGATTTTTGAAACTATCTGTTTATAAAAAATCTATGCAATTATTTTAGACACGAATTATCAAATAGTACTATATTTTAAGTGTAAATTAAACAATATCGCGTATTTACGAGTTTTTTCAAGGTGTAAATTTTCGGGATTACCCATATTTGATAAATCTACATTAATATACACATAATTTAATCTCCTGATGAGATAAATAATAAGTAATGTATGTCATTATTTTTATATAAGCTTTATATATACTTTTTGCTTGTGGTAAATTAACAAAGTAGTAATAAATTTTTCTAAAATTTTATTTAGGAATTTTATCACAATTGAATTTGCTCACAATGTAGCGAAAATTATGAATATGTTGCTGAACAATCAGAACAAATAATTAATTAATGATTTTGTGACTGACAATTAATATTTAAATTAGATTCGTTATAGATCATTAAGTATTATGAATTTATAGAAATATTAATATAAATTTGAGAATCGCTAATGTATAAAATATAATAAATTTATTTTGACTTCTAAATACGTTTTCTTAAAGCAATAAACTTATTTTGCGTTTTAATAATAATTTTTGATATTTGTTTACATATGATTAATAACAATTAAAATATATATACATGTAGCGGGTAAAAAAACTTTTAATGGTTAAGATAATTAAAATCTTACAATGATTTTTTTAAAAAATTATCTGTTGCAGGCTTTAATATAACAATATTTCTAATAAAATTTATATTTCTTTTATTCTACAAACCTTGAATTACGTTAGAAAGAATCAATGTCCATGATAAAAAAAGGAAATAATTTTCAAGATTAGTAAAAGACAAGACCATACATTTCATTTATCAAATCACAAACAATATCGAACGGGAAAAAAAAACTTAACATATTTAATTTATTAGATGTAACGACTGTAATAAAATAACAAAAAATATGTCATAAGCTTACGCAAGTTGATCACCTGATCAATTTTGTAATTGTGCTAATCAGGCTGTATTGTCACACACATGCCGATCACTAATTAAATTTGACCTAATTTGCTAATCTAAAACGAATACCCCTTTTTTTTCTCTCTTCCGTCTATCATTATGGCGTGTTCAAAAATATTTTCAGGAAATATGCCAGAATTAACAAGTAAAATCATACAATATTTACAGTATGACCATTTAGCATTACATTCATGTATTTTTGTCAATAGATTATGGTGTCGTATAGCAATTCCATTATTATGGGAAGACCCATTTTCAAAGAAATTAAAACTTCCTAAAAATCAAAATATTCTTGAACCTTCCTTATACAAATTAAATGAAGATGATAAAACAAGATTAAATGAATTTGGAATTAATAATGAAACATTTTCTTTGAATACATTATTTAATTATTCCAGTTTTATTAAATGTTTGGATACTTATACATTTGTTTATTCTGTCAAAAAGTGGATTAAAACTAAAATATCTGTTAATATAATGGAATCAACAAAATTTATTTTTATGTTATTAATCAAAATATTTATTGAAAATGGAATTAGTTTACATACTTTTGAAGTTGAAGTTCCTATAACTTTAAGTGTTATTGGGGATAAATGTTTTAATTCTACTTTTGAATTAATTTTAAAAAATCCAAATTTTATTAATAATGTTAAAAATTTAATTCTTCATTTTAGTGAAAGAATGGAGAATATGGAATTTTTAGAAAGATTTTATTATAATTGCAATTCAATTTCATCACTTCATATTTTAGCTTCAATGGATGAAGATGAGCAAGTTGAAAAGAATTTATCACAAATTATTAAATCACAACAAAATCTTAAAAAAATTTCTTTTGAATATCATTTTGAATATACTTTAAATTATTTAAAGGATTCTTATTGTTTAAATACCTTAAAAACTATTATATTTTATGGAATTCGGTTTAATAGTATGGTTGATTTTAAGGAAGTGTTTGAACAACTAAATGTTTTAGAATCTGTTCATATTTTAGATTGTTATTCTTTAAATTCTGTTATTATTGAGCAAATTATTAATTTATCTAAACCATTTAAATTAAAATCTTTATTTATAAATGAAATATTAGATATTAAATCATTGGAATCATTATTACAAAAATCTGGTGATTATATAGAATATTTTGGCCTTAGATCAAGAAGTCATGCATCAAAACAACAATTATTGGAAGTAATTAAACGTTATTGTACAAGGATTAAGTTTTTTGAATTATTTGAATTTGATAAAAAAGAACTTTGGCCAACATTTGATTTAATTGAAGATGTTGGACAAAATCTTAATTTTATTTCCATTGATCTCCATGAATTTTATATATATCAATTAGATCATGATACTGAACTTAGTTCAATTATATTGCAAAATCTAGGTCAAATTCTACCTCATAAATTAGAATATTTAAATTTAGCTTTCAAGATTAATACAAATGATTTGGGAATATTTTTTAAGAATTCTCAGAATATTTTTATTAAAAAATTATTAATTAAAAATAAGATTTATAATGAAAGTGAGGATATTTTACCTTATATAAAAGAATATGTTATGAAAGAAAAAAGGGTTATGTATTTAGCTATGGAAGAAAGTTTCGGTGATGAAAAAAAGAAGAATTTGTTTTCTTTAGAAGATGAAGTAAAGGAGTTTCAATTACATAATATTAAAATTCAAAATTATAACGATTTGCTTATAGATATTTATGATTTTGTAAATGAGAAGTAAATATATATATAGCATGAAGGGTTTTTGTTTTTAGAGTTGTAATTGATACATTTAGTTATTTTTAAATTTGTATATTGGTATATTAAATAAATTTTATAAATATTTATGATAAAATTTTAACTAAGTTATTAAATTTGCTTACATTTTTTAAAAGTAAAGTTCAGTTTGAAATTAAATTATAAATTTATAAAACTGTCTTAAAGAATTTTCCTGCTGCAGGTTATAGAGTTTAGCAAAAATGGTTATTTTCTTGAGTACCTTAATTTAGGGCTAGAAAAGAAATCACAAAGGATTAAACTAACTATCGATTCAATATATTGACGCCAATAATTGGTCAATCTATTTTTTTAAAAAAAATAGGATTCCTACCACTTTAGCAATTTCAATGTTCTCTAAATGCGCTTTGTTCTTTTGCTGTTTATAATCAATTATTGATTTCATTCTAACGGATACAGCCTCAGGTTTCTGTCCCTGAATCCACATCAGGAAGCACGGAAGAACAAGGTACAAAATGAGTTTAAGCCAATAAGTGATCGAAACTATTACTTAGCAAGAGAGAAGTGGTTGGACGAAGAAATGCTGGTAATCTCGCCACGAAATTGTATGAAAATTCGACTCCGGAGGAGGTAGTGGATGTGATTTCAAAATTGAGAAAAGAATCATCGGAAGACATGAATAAAAGGATGGATAAAAGGATAGAATTAATTGAACGTAAATCCAACGGCAATTACGAAATCACGAAGTCTGATTGTCAGCAACGTGGAAAAAAGTAGAAATAAAATACCATCAAAATAATTACAAGAATATAAACAAGTTAACGTGAGTTGTTCGACAAGACTTCCAGAAAATGAAGAAAAAGAAAGAATTCTTGTTACAGTATATACATCATTTACGTGATTATCGATAAATAAAAATCTTTAAAAAAAATGTCGCTTTATTGGAAGAATGCAAGCATTCAATTTATTTGCAAATTTTTCAGAATTTTCGTTATTAATGGAAAATATATATATATATATATATCTTTGTAAAATTGCTATAGGAGCGATCATTTATATTTTATAGATGTTAGCAATTCGAGATCACTTTTTTAGTTAAATAGCCATTACTTTAACATTAACCGGATGTTTGTAATAATGATTCAATTTTAAAATTTCGATCAGACAATGATTTAATAATTTGTGGAATAATATTAGAATATGAACAGGTTATAAAACATTTAATTATTATATACTTTCTTTTAAATAAACTACTTTATTATTAAATGAATTCCATAAATATAAATGATTTAGGTATTGTAAAATTTTAATACGTGATTTAATATAGATCTACTTTTTAATATAATGGATAAATGTATAATACATGACCTCCTAATCATTGAATAATTAATAATGTTTAAAGAAAATGAATCATTATTATTAACTTCCATATTCATTTAATTTTGTTTTGTAAGAAATTATGATTTTAAGAAGTTTAATCTTTGAAGATAGGACTTTCTGTGATAATGAAGTTGCTATATGACACCTCGATCTATTGTAAAATATATATGAATGTCGTGCTAACGTCTGCATAAATAATAGTTATTCGGCACGGAAATAGTCATTCCGTAAATTTTATTAGTTAATTCAGGTATATTCCCTGAAATAGTTTTTATAAAAAATTTATTCTGTTTTTTTTATTCCATGTTATTACGGAATTTATAGCCTCAAACATAGAAATTATCAAAGTTGCTTAAATTCAGTTATTTTTCCATAAATGTATCATATTCACGAAGTTTTTACAGAAACCATGGATAAAATTTTTTACAGGGATCCAAATCCCTCCTTTTCTATCGAAAGCGTGATTGGCTTTCCTAACGTTTCTTCGTCTTTGAAGTAAGCGTAGAACACTTTCTTTCCTGTATATTATTTCGAAAAGAACAAATCATAGTCGTTTAACTTCCCTTCAGGTAGTTCTTTATAAGCAACCAATACAGTACATTGCCCTATTGTCATGTTTTGATATTTTCGTGTCCGACGGACACCATCGGAACGAGTGGAACGAGTATACTTGACCATTAAAATTTACGTTTATGTCTCAACGTTTTATCATAACTCGTCGTTCTTTAAATTTAACTGATTTATACTTGTTTTTTAACGCTAATATGTTTCACCAAACCATAAACGGCAATGTCCCGGAATTTCATAGGAATGGTTCCTGATCTCTTCAATTGGTAATTGATCAACTTGGATTTCGGTAAGTTTTTTGTCCGGTGCTTTCTTGATCGGCGTTTGACATTTCTTTTACCTTTCTTACCTCAATCTATGTTGACTCAACTCTCAACTTCTTTAGAAAGACTTGTTATCTTTTTATCTTTCCGCAATATAATTCGTTTCTTATGTTTGACCTCATTTTCTTTTTGGCGAACTCACATGATGCGTCTTTGTTCTTTACTGCGCCTCTCTAAGCCAGTTTCGTAAGTTCGAATTTTGTTTCCCAATCGTTCAACTTCCATACTATAAAGTTTATATGCTATTTCCTCGCAAGTTCTTATTATAACTCTTGGTCTTGTATTTTTGCTTAACGGTGTAAAAAAACTTGCTAGTCGTGCTTCCTATCTAAAACTCTATCAATATTTTGTTCGAAAACATTTTTCGGGATGTTCCTATGTTTCTAAAATATTTATTAATAAAATTTCTTGTTTCGATCAAAAACTCCTGATAAAAACTCTTCTCGTATATAAAAGGCATTCATTATTAAGCCATTTCATTGTATTTATAAAAAAGGAAGTGCTCTATAAGACTATAACGAAATAAAATATTTTTTTTTCTTCCAAAAAATTTAGGACGAATGATCGTCAGGAAGAGTTTTTCCAATAAAGTGAGGCATAGTTTTGAAATATTTAAAAAAATTTTTATCTAGCATTAGATTTAATTAAAAATATTGATAAAATCTAGATTTTATCTCCTGATTTTTATAACAATCAATTAAGCCATTATATACAGATTCTTTCTTAAAAATTAGAATATTGTATTTAGATTGATACAAGAGATTTGAAAATATTTTATGAATTCCGAGAATTCTTCATTAAAAAAATATTGATCAGGACAGGTTCTATGATGAGAGCGAAGATATCTTGTATAAAAAAAATGTTTTGGAAAAAAGTGCTATGAAGAATTTTTTTGTAAAAAAAAAGAATCTATATTTTTTAAAAAAAAATCATAAAAATTTCAATAACGTGATATAAAAAATCTAAAATTATGATTTGTTTATATTTATGATAGGTAGTTTATAATAAAAAAAATTTTTTTTCATTTATCGCCGTTTTCAAAATTATGCGGTCAGTTTATTTGTGATTGTATATTCGAATACCAATATTTGTCCGGTCTTCATCCGTTTTTTGTCCATCTTTTTTTCTTATTCAAATATAACTGCATACACCATTTTGAAAACGGCGATAATACAGGAAATTTTATAACATTTATTACAATGATATCATTTTTTTAAAATAAAATTCTAGTTTGAAATAAATTCTGGATTATTAAAACTTACTCATATTGTCTTAAGGTTACTATGATAGTTAAACTTTAAAATTTGCAGCAAGTTTAAATACTAAACTTAGAACCAAGAAAAGGCATTCTGTAATTATAATAACAATAAAAGTTTAAGAATGTCAAAATATTTTTAATTAATAATCAGTGGTCAATAAATATCAAAGGTAAGATGTTCATTTCTGATTCGTTGCATTCGTTGGATTTATTTGATTGGTCAGATTTGTTTGCGTTTGTTTGCGTGACTACCAATATTTTTTTTTTAGGTTTTTAGGTCGGACGTGTTTATAATAGGATTACAAGAGGATTGTAAGGATTATAATTTTGCATATGACCGAAAAATCATAACCAACAGAAAACGGTCATGGCTGTTGAATTTGATCATTTGATCATGCCAACCATAATCGATCATTGATTGGTTCGAGTCAATAACGCTTGAATCCAATGTACATCTAGCAAGACCATTTGTAGATGATTGATCGAGCCAACACATGATTACATGTGAAAATTAAACGTGATCAAATTTTGATCGACCAAGTTCTTTACTCGATCAAACCATCAAGCATGTACTATACAGTATGTTTCGTTCACTAAGCATAAATGATCAGCATAAATGATTAGTATATAACTTACCTAATTAGATAATTGTAGAACGAACACCCCCTTTTTTTTCCTTTATTTTTTTTTATTTACATTATGGCGTGTTCAAAAATTTCTCCAGGAGATATACCTGAAATAACAAGTAAAATCATACAATATTTACAGAATGATTATTTAGCACTACATTCATGTATTTTTGTCAATAGATTATGGTGTCGTATAGCAATTCCATTATTATGGGAAGACCCGTTTTCAAAAAAAGTGAATCTTCCTAAAAACCATAATATTTTCGAAATTTCCTTACACAAATTAAATGAAAATGATAAAGCACAATTAAACACATATGGAATTAATAATGAATCGTTCTCTTTGAATACATTATTTAATTATCCTAGTTTTATTAAATGTTTAAATACATTTTCATTTGTTTATTCTATTAAAAAATGGATTGGAACTTTATCTATTAGCAATCAATCTACACAATTTTCGAATTTATTAAACTTTACTCCTTTGCTATTATTTAAAATATTTATTCAAAATAAAGTTAACTTACATACCTTTGAAGTTGAGATTTCCAGTACTATAAAGATTACAAATAGTGAATGTTTAAATTCTATTATCAGATTAATCCTAAGAAATCCAACCTTTATTTATAATATTAAAAATTTTAAGTTTCATCTTAATAATGCAATTTTTAATATTGACCTTTTAAACTACTTATATTCTCATTGTAATTCAATTTCAACACTTCATTGTCAAAAAAATATTCATCATAAAACTTTTATAACTGAAAAATATCTGACAAAAATTATTAATCCACAACAAAATCTTAAAAGAATTTTGTTTGAGGAGAGAGCATATCCTTTAACCATCTTAATGAATTCTAATTGTGCAAATACTTTAAAATCCATTGTATTCTACAAAATTAATTTTTTAGATATCCATTATTTAAAAGAAGTATTTGAGCAATTAAATGTTTTAGATTCTATTCATTTCATTTATTGTTCTTTTTTATATTCCATAATTTCTCAAATTGATAGTTTAACCAAACCATTTAAGTTAAGATCTTTGTTTGTTAATGAAATGCACACAATTGATTCTTTAAAATTATTGTTAGAAAAATCTGGTGATTATTTAGAAAATATTGGAATTAAATCAATAACTTATAAATTACAACATCAATTTATTGAATTTATTAAAATTTATTGTACAAAAATTAAATATTTTGAATTACTTGAATTTGATAATCAAAATGTCCATCCAGCATTTGATTTGATTAAAAATGTTAATCAAAATCTTAGTTATATTTCTATTGATTTTTGTCAATTTAATTATTCTCAATTAACTTATGATATTGAACTTAGTTCAATTATATTACAAAAATTAGGACAAATTCTTCCTCATAGATTAGAATATTTAAATTTGGCTCTTAAGTTTGAAATAAATAATATAGAAATATTTTTTAAAAATTCTCAAAATACTTTTATTAGAAAATTGTTAATTAAAAATAAGATTTATGGTGAAAGTCAAGATATTTTACCTTGTATTAAAGAATATATTATGAAAGAAAAAAGGGTTAGATATTTAGCTATAGAAGATGTTTTCTCTAATGGAATAAGGAAAAATCTGTTTACTTTGAAAAATGAAGTAAAGGAGTTTCAATTACATAATATTGAAGTTTATAATTATAACGATTTATTTATTAAGAATTATGATTATATAAAGGAAATGGATTATTAATTGTTTATTTTTTTTTTAAAAAAAAAAATTATTTGTATAGAAATATTTAAAATGTTTATCAAATTATTTTTATAAATAAAGTCATTATTTTATAACGGATTATTAAATACTTTTTTTTTGTTAATTTTTAATTGTGATTAAAATATTTACTTAAAGATTAATAGGCCAAGGGATATTACGACTATTACGTTCACTAAACCTGACTCGCTTAAAAACTCATCCGGGTCGACCCTACCATTGTGGAGCTCTAAGAATTGTAAATAAATGATAAATGGTTTTGGGTTCCATAAATAAAAGCATGAAGCCAGGAACAGTTTGACCCGAAAAAAACAACGTGCGAACGTTCACAATATCTATATACAATTTTTTGTCATCAACTTTCTTCTGGATTTTAATTACCGTAATTACCGTATAAGAAAATATTATTGTGTCGGTATCGTAGGCCACCTGTTAGTTAAAATAATTACAGGTTAAAATCTTATTGCATGGTTGTAAATATACTGGATAGCGAATTTAAACAAATAATACTATGATAAATACAGTATACATTCGTTTAACATATTCCTAACGTAATTATTATTGTTCTCTTCTTTGGAATACCTTCAGACATTGTATACTGGATATTCATTACTTCGCTGCAACTAATTTCTTTAGTGAAATTAGATTCTACCCAAAATTATCCAATCTGACGATCAATTCTCGACAAAACTGGGCTACGCTATCAGTTCAAGCCTGGACTTTGCTAGTTTCATCACCTGACTAGGGATGCGGTTATAACCGATCATAACCGTTTTACCGGTTCGGTTATCGGTTCGGTTTCAGTCCAAGACCGACCGGTTAACCGTCAGTTTTATATACAAAAAAACCGATCAAAAAACCGATCGGCTAATTGTAAATTTTTAATATATTCCGGAAAAAAAAATGATTTTGTTTATTGAGAATACCATTAAAACTATTTTTATGGTTAGTATTCTCGTTTTTGAAATTATTCGAATTTACGCGATGATCACGTGATTTTTCGTTTCTCTGAAAAATCACAACATCGGCGTTATTGTTGTCGTAAATTTAAAGAATATTATTCAAAAAATTATAGTTGATACTTTATGGCATTGCTTTATTTGGTTTTGCAGTTCAGTTTTATCGGTCGGTTTTGCGGTCGATTCGGTTTTGGTTGAAAACTGCAGTTTTAAAACCGAACCGACCGTTGGCATCCCTACACCTGACTGATTCCTATCTTTGATTTGTTTTACATCAGTGATCCATGATAAACATTTCGATGACTTCTTTATAAGAAACAAATAGACAATATTAACTATACTCTTTTGGAATTGACTTCATGAGAACTTCAAGATCTATATTCCGTCACCGCATGTCCGTTTGATGGCCAATTTTATTTCTATCTAAAATATCGAATCATAGAGTTGATGTTGGTATAAATAGTTTAGACCAAGGTGCTTCAGAGGTATTAGTAAGAATTTTGCTTGTAAAATAAAACTATGAATGGCCTAACAATTAACTTGTTTGCACATATATTTTAACTTATCATATTGTATATTTTTGTATTCAGAGGATCATGCCATTTCTCCATATTTAGTCAAATACGGTACTGGAAAATTGTGTACCAGAATTCACCTTTTTTAGAAATTACTCATGATATAATACTCAACCTTTCCTTTGACATTCTCTATGAAGCGGATATGAAAGCAAAAACTTGAAAAGTTAATAATGTTTTTTTAAAAAAATTTTTGTTATATTCACGTAGTACAATCCAAAATCTTCCCAAGACGAAAAAGTTAAAAAAAATATTTTCAAAAAATAAATTAAAAGAAAAAAACTTCATAAACAATCATTGTTTTTTAATTGTTTTATTAAGAAAAATTCATACTAATTATTTATTTTTTTACACATATAGTAATTAATTTATATACTTAAGAACTATTATGAAATTTTTAAATGAAAAGATATATGAGACCCATATTATTGTAGAAATTTTCAATTTTTGGGTAATAAACATTTGAACAACTTATTAAATTTGTTTCTAGGTTTTACTTATGTGTATTTATAATTAAGGAATTGAATTTTAACTAAAAAACAATTCTTCATACATAAAAATGAAAAAATTTATTGTTATCTTATACGGACGAAGCAACTGCGCTATAGTAACTGACAGTTTAATGTACTTCATGTACTGTTAATAGGGATTGGAATCGATTTCCATAATTAGAATCGATTTTAGAATCGACTAGTCACGATTAATCGTTTCTCAAATTTCGATTTCGATTAATCGTTTCTAATCGATTGTGCATCATTAAATTTGTGGCAGAAAAATCATTTGATTATTAAATTTAATGATTTTGCATTTAAAATGAAACACACGAATAATAAGTGATCGGCGGTAACTCTGACCAAGCTTATGATTCCGGCCAGAATTAAAACTTTAGTGTAACACAATTCAAAATCTTGCATAACGCAAAGATTCGATGTCATGTGATTTATAATTTCGTAATTCGGGCCGGCACTATAGTTTCGATTATTTATTCGATAATTTAGTTTAATCAGATTTTCGATTATTTCGATTTTGCCCAACTCCTAGTACTGTAATTAAAAATTTTTCAAGAATACGTATAAATATTTTTTTGTTGCACAAGCTTTTCATATAAAAAGTATAGATGATATCAATATTTGTAATCAACTCTTGCAATCAAAAATAAAAAAATAGTCTATCACTATTGTTAATTTAAATAAAAAAAATACTTTAAAAATATATGTTAACAAAAGTATTTTCATTTAAATAAAAAAAAAGAATAAAAACTGTTGATTATTTATTTATAATACAGTTGCGTCTATATTAAATTTATATGTAATTTATGTATATACAGTAATAATGATTATGATATACTGCGCATCAATAAAATTTGACACTATTGACATAAAAAGTATAATTAAACTGTAATAGTCTAAGAGAAGTATGACTATTTAAACATTTTATGCATGATCGTATGATCAATATATATAATTATGAGTCATCAACTCATCATTTGTGGTGAGTTCATGCTCACCATATATAAACAAACTTATGAAAAGCGCGTTACTACCTAAGGAGAAACCTTGTTACAGAAGAATATATTCAATATATTCAATATTAAATTTTCCATAAATTGTTTACTTTTAGGAGAGACTCCTGAAAATTCTTTCTCGGTTGATATTATCGATAAAATCGTTGTTTATAATACATGTAGTACAGACAATTTTCTATTCGACTGTAATCGTATTCTAGTTTCGCATTTCAAGTCTATTGTCTAAGTTATAAACTTAAATCACTTAATATCAACTGTCATAACTATCTGAACCTTTGGAGGATCAATGATACAAGGGTTAAAAGTAACGAAAGTAAATGTAAAGAATTGTATACCGAAGATGACATTAAAAGTAATCTTGGAGGTGCTATTATGAAACCTCATTACTTTCTTCATCATTATTTTAACAAGGATGATTTTGAAAACAACGTGATCGGTGAGGGCGCAATTCACATCATTGTACAAGTGCCTGCCTGCTACTGGTAAGTATCTCCCAATTTTTACATCTCGAATAAGAAATTTGCAGCAGCAAAAAAAAAAAAGTTTATTCGATTTTTCATTGTTATAAAATAATATGCTTCAAGTGCTCACAATTACCAACAACACTGACTTTCCCAATAAAAGGATGAAGCTAACTCACATATAATGACAGTTAGTTATTTCTATCTTGATAGATCAAGAGATTTTTTTAAATGTTGAGCAGAGTATATAGAAAGTAAGTAACGTAAGATGGTTAAGTGAGTAACGTAATACAGTATATCATATGGTTTGTTTATTTATGTACTTACTATAAGTTTGGTTACTTTTGATTGTTAATTCATCAATTATTTTTTTTAAAAAAAATTTCATAGTCATTAATCAATCAAATTTTTTCTATCTCCATTAGTGTGACAAATTGTAATTTGTAAATCGCCGATAACAATCTTGTCACGTGGGACGTGACATTTAATCTTCTTAGTGATTGATTCGCTCGATTTGCAATTTTGCGATAAAATTAACAAACTGTCAATTAATAAACAAATAATAAATATTTTTTTTTTTTTATGTAAATTAATAAAAGTAAACAATGTATTTATGGTAAAAATATATAAATTTAAGAAAAAACTAAATTTTTTTTTAAGAATGACAAGTTTCGATGGTTCCTAAAAAAAAAAGATATAATTACGTTTAACATTAATAAATTATTATATTTTTCTGGTTTTATCAGCTTATTAATAAAATTCAATGATTTTGTTATTCACTGACCGTGAATATTGGAGTAATAATAAATAATTATTTAAATTATTAATTTATTATTAACTTTATGAAATTTGTTAATTTATTAAATTTAGTAATACTGTAATAGATGTTTTTCAAAAATTTTGTGGATGTGTTACATACAATTTACAAGTTCTCTCATGAGATGATTCTCCATTTCTCTCAATCTTATCATAATCAGCAAAACACCTATATAAATTTAATTTAAAATAAAATTAAATTAATAAAATTTCTTATATAAAATAAAAACAATACAGTCACAACATATGCCTGATTGAAACTTACAACCAACAGAACTCATATTTACAAGTTTTAATAGTACAAGTCATATGTTCACATCCTCCATTTTTGATAATTCTTACGCCACATTTTGGACATGGCTTAGTTTCTATATCGAGTAAATTTTGAGTAGCTTTGTCTTCACCTAATTTTTTACTATCATATTCACTACAAATTAATCCCTCATGCCAAGGAACATCGTGAGTATAACAGTATTTTTGACCGCAAGCTTCACATGTCATTAGAGGTGAGTTGTCTATTATTAAAAGGAAATTAATATCATTAATTTTTCTTTAAAATAAATTCAAATGATCGTTATTAGTACCTCCTTCAAAATTAATTTGACCGGAACCACATCTAGAATTTTTACACCATCTAAAATCTGGCAATTTGCTTAACATTTGAGTAAGCGTTAATTTGTCGTATCTTTCAAAAACTTTTTTACTAGCGATCCTTTTTACATCCTCATGTTGCATTTCTTCTTTACAGTCGGAAGATGGGCAATAAATTTCTATATTCCCATTACTTTCTAACTGAGTTTGAATATGCTTACCAACACATAATTTACAAACATCTAATTCATGGTTACAGTTCGCAGTTACTTTTAAGAATTGGCGCTTTTGAAGACGTTCAAAACAAATTTGACACTCTTTTTTTTTCATTGGAAGTGTTAAAATTTGTATTGTTATGAATTCAGAGAGGATGAATATTTTTTTAATTCAACAACAAAGAAGGTTTCACCTTTATAAATGTGTACAACAAATGATTTTCCATAAAAATCAATATATGGGGTCTGATCTAGAAAAATCAAGGTAAGCGAATTTTTTGGTTAAAATTTTTGTATTTCAGTCATATCAAAAAGTATAATGCAATAAAAACCTCAATTTTGAAAAAAATTCTCTAACCTAGATCTTCCTAGATCAGTCCCCATATAATAAGATCATGATGGCTCATATTCGGCACGTTCACACCATTTATTGCGAATGTCATTATTTCCCGATAATAAATGGTAGAGTTTGGAACCGGTTAAGATGATTAATAATTACTACGCGCACATGATCACATGACTAAAATAATCATGAGTCATCTGATTACACGAAATAAACTAACCAATAAAACTTGTCAAATATCTATAGGTTAAGCAAATGCAAATCATGATCAGCTGATCTGCATAAATTAAAAATATCGGAAATATCTCCGAAAAGTTATCGTATTACAGAAAAAAAAAAAAAAAAAACTTTAAATAATTTGACTTAATTTGATAATTAATCAATCTTTTTCTCTCTTCGTTTACAATATGACATATTCAAAAATTTTTTTAGGAGATTTACCTGAATTAACAAGTTTAATTATACAATATTTTCAGAATGATTTTTCAACATTATATTCATGCATTTTGGTTAATAGATTGTGGTGTCGTTTAGCAATCCCATTATTGTGGGAAGATCCTTTTTCTATTCCTGCCAAAAATTGTAGATTTATTGAAATTTATTTATATAATTCAAGTGAAGATGATAGAGCAAAAATAAATCGATTTGGAATTAACATAATTCCTTCGAATACATTATTTAATTATCCTAGTTTTATTAAACGTTTTAATACACATAAATTTTTTAAATCTATTAAACAGTGGCTTTATACTGTTATTAAAGAAAGATCATTTTTTTCATCTTTTTATTTAACAGAATTGATTATTTTGATATTAATTAAAATATTCGTTCAAAATGAAATTGATTTACATACCTTGGAAATTGATACTGCAAAAACGGATGTTCAAATTAGATATTTTAAACCTGCATTTAACTTAATCTTACAAAATCCAAATTTAAATCAAAATATCAAAACTTTAAAACTTAATTGTGATTATGATGAATATATTGAAGAATTTTCAACACAAATAATTAAATCACAACAAGATCTCAAAAAAATTATATTTAAATTTGATATTTATAATTTATATATTTTAAAAAGTTCTAATTGTTTAAATACATTAAAAATTATTATATTTCATGGAATTGATTTTAAAAATATTATGAATTTAAAACAAATTTTTGAACAATTAAATGTTTTAGATTCTATTCATATTATTTATTGTACTTTAAATTCTAGAATTATTCAACAAATTTTTAATATGACTAAACCATTTAAATTAAAAACTTTATTTGGAATATTTGAAATTAAATCATTATTATTATTATTACAAAAATCTGGTGATTATTTAGAAAATATTAGAATTGAAACAACCACCAATAATATATTATTACAACAATCATTTGATTTGATTAAAATTTATTGTACAAAAATCAAACTTATTGATTTATATGGATTTGAACATCAAGATTTTAATTTAGCTCTTGATTTGATTAGAAATATTGGTCAAAATCTTAATTATCTTTCTTTTGATATCACTAAATTTCCTTCTGGTTTTTCATCTCATGATTTTAAATTTAGTTCAATTTTATTACAAAATTTAGGACAAATTCTTCCTTATAAATTAGAATATTTAAATTTAATTTTTAAGATTAATGCAAGTGATTTTAAAATCTTTCTTACAAATTCTCATAACATTTTTATTAGAAAATTATTAATTCGAAATATGATGTATGATAAAAATGAAGATATCTTACCTTATATAAAAGAATATATTATGAAAGAGAAAAGGGTTACATATTTTGCTATGGAAGAAATTTTACCTAAGGAAAAAAAGAAAAGAAAGAGAAAAAATAACTTATCTTCATTACAAAATGAAGTAAAAGAATTTCAATTATATAATATTAAAGTTCAAAATTATGATGACTTATTTATTAATTTTTGTGAATTAATAGATTAATAGATTATTTTTAAGGCAGTGAATTATATAGAATTGTAGAATTTTTATATTAAATAAAAAATTTTCTTTATTATCTCATACGATTATCGTGAATTACAATGGTGTGATGATGTTTGTTAATTATCGCCGTTTTCAAAATGGTGTATTGTGTATGCAGTTATATTTGAAAAGAAACCCGAAAATTGGACGGTACCCGGACGATACCAGGACGATACCGGACAAGGCGTACATCTATGGTATTGTTAAAAATATACTACTTATCTAATAAATGTTAAGTCTCATTTGGATCTAACTGTCCTTTTTCTTTATTCAAAGTTACAGTAGTGGATTTCCATTATTAACGGTAAAAATTTCATCATATAACAAAAAAGGAGATATTCAGGTTATGGCGTGTAATAATAACATTGAAACAATTGAAACAGATGTTGAACTAAATTCATCAAAATTTTCATGGAAACAGATGGCGGATTGTAAAATACCTCAGTGTCGATTTGCATCAGGTAGTAGCTGACGTAGATTGATTCCCGACACGCGTCACTTGTCATTGGTAAATTTTTTATTATTAAATAAATTTGTTTATCACATTAAAAAATATGTAATTCTAATCTAAAGTTTCATTATTAGTGTGTATGATTCATTGTGATATACAGGTTTACTTATAGAATATCGTTTTTACTATGGAAGACTACATATCGTGCGATACAGGTGGCGGCTGGTGTCGCGCGTCAGCCGTCAGATATCAATCTGACGCACGCACGTCAGCTATCACTTGACGCAAATCAGGATTGAATCTAGCATTATTTTTATAAGGTTTTGTAGTATAACAACGATTTGCAACCGTCTTTTAAATTTATTATCTGGAAGGACTGGTAATAACATTTGATAGAAATAACAAATTTCGTTAAATAATACAATTGAATTTTATGCTATCGCTGATGGTATTCGTTATATGATGTTTTCTTTATTTATTATAAAAATAAATCACATTTTACAACTTGTAATAAACTATTGATAAAAACTAATACATTTCGTTTACAAATTCATAAGCTCGAATATAAAAATCATCAAAATTCACAAATTTAATATTATAAGATTCAAATTCCTTTATATCATTTTCGGTAACACTTTCATCAATAGCCAAATATTTTACTCTTTTCTCTTTCATAACATGTTCCTTTATATAAGGTATTAAATCACCTTCTTTCATCAAATTTTCGATTAATAATTTTTTAATAATAATATTTCGAGTTTTGAATAAAAAAGTATTAAAATCTCTTGCATTAATCATGAGACTTAAACTTAAATATTCTAATTTAGGAGGAAGAATTTCTCCTAATTTTAAAAATATATTTGAACTAAGTCTAATATCATCACTTGATACATGACTATGTCTACGAAATTCTATAGAAAGGTAATTAAGAGAATTCCCAAAACTTTTAATTAAATTTAAAGTAGGGAAAGTAATTTGATTATTAATTCTACGTAATTCAAAATATCTAATCTTTGTACATTGATTTATAATTGGTTCAAGTTGTCCCGACTTATACATTGATAATTCAAATCCAATATTTTCCAAGTAATCACAAGATTTTTGTAATAATGATTCTAATAATCTAATTTGAATTTTTGTTTTCATGAATAATGATTTCAATTTAAATGGTTTAGTAAAACTCATGATTTGTTGAATGAAATTAGAATTTAAATTAATACAATAAAGAATATGAATCGATTCTAAAACATTTAAAGATTCAATCGCTTTAAATTCCACATTTCTAAAATCAGTATCAAAAAATACAATTTTGTTTAAAGTATTCAAACAATTAGAACTTGTAAATAATGAAATTGGAAGATTCATATTATTTTCTAAAGATAAAAAATCATTAAAACTAACGTTTTCAAATGAAGTATTTTTGAGATTTTGTTGTGATTTAATTATTTCCATTAAAAATTCCTTAATTTTATAATATTCATCATAATCCATTATTGCCATTTGAAAATAGAATGATTCTAAATTTTTCATATTACAAGTAAATTTTAAACATTCTAAAAGTAATTCAAAAGAAACAAGTGAATCATCAATAATCACTTCAAGTTCAAAAGTATGTAAATTTACTTCATTTTCAATAAATAATTTAAATATTAAATCACAAATTATTCTTTCAATATTATCAGAATTCTTGATTCGATTAGAAAATTTTTCCTCGTTTATAAATGAATTAATTGAGTCAATAAATTTCTTTGTATTTAAATATTTAATAAAGCTAGGATAATTAAATAATGTATTCGAATATGGATTATTTTTATTCCAATAATTATTCAATTTATTTTTATCATCTTCATTTAATCTACGTAAATAAGTTTCGATGAAACGAAAATCCGATGGATCTTCCCATAATAATGGAATTGATAATCGAGACCAAAATCTATTAACTAAAGCACATGAATGCAACGTTTTATAATCATTTCGAAAATATTGTATGATCTCATCTGTTAATTCTGGTAAATATCCTGAAAATAATTTTGAACATGTCATATTATATAAAGGAGAGAGAAGGAAAGGGGGGCGTTTTTAATATTTACGTCAGAAATGGTTAATTTTTATATAATTTTCTGCAAAAAATGTTACACAGGTTTCTAATTTGGAATTTTGTAATAAAGGTTGATCGTCAACCAATTGAAATGTACTACAAATACATTTGATCGACAAAGTACCGTACCGATATCGCATATTTTTTGCAACACGCAATTCTTCATTAGTATTTAAAGTAAAATACATTAAATATTACAAAGAAAACTAAAGATTAAAGAACGATATATTTATTCTTTTTTCGCTTATAATCTATTTTACAGAATATATATATATATATAACAAAGGACGATATACTTCGGCAATTAATCGGATCGCGTGACATTTCTGCTAGTCTCGCCGCGTAAAAAAATTAAATTTCTTAAAACGACACATCTCGTATGATCGAAATTCAATTTACTGATTTTCATTCATTCAATTCCTAAATAAATAACTATATAGTCTACAATATTTTTATTATTTAATATTCTTCGTTCTTGATTTACAATGGTTACCATTTCCTAGTTATGTTAGTAGTTATGTTGAAATTGCAGTTTTTATCCAACGAAGAATTTTCTTTGGAGTACAGTTAGTAGATATAGTAGGTGTATTGACATTCGTACACCAAAATATTAAGAATTCGATATAACAAATAAATTGGTAAAAGGTGGTTAATTTTTTTCTGGATATAGTTGTTTTGTACTCTACTATACCCTTTTTCTTTTTCCTTTAATTTTATTCGTTTTTCCTCGGTTTCGCTTTGGTTTAGTATAGTCATTTTTGGTACATTCTTCTTCACCAATTTGTCGACCACGTGACGGATCTTGGAGATTTTCGTACACCGATGATTACCGAATCCATTATTAGAGTGGGGTTACAATTAGAAGATGAAGCGGGTGTTAGAAAGGGTGGTCGGTTCTTTTAAGGGAAGTGGTATAGTGCGGAAGGATTGACTCGTCCCGAAAGTTAATATCCATAAATAGTGGACATATGCTTAGTGTATTAGCATTAAAGGCCATTCGTGTAGTTGGTATTCATATCGCTTCTGCTGATGAACTAACACCTAATTATTATTATCGTAAAGCGAACCATGAAATAAGGTTACCTCTTTTAATGTTTTATGCTTGGGCGTAGCATGAAGTTCAGGATTCGACTCTAATGAACGTAGACGGTCTGTATATATAATGGGTTTATGGTTAAGGTTATTCCCTATTATACTCCGGTCTTAAGTTTCTAGGGAGATGGCCTGTTTTGCAAAGAGTTTTCCTGTAAAGTTCTATAATTTGACCCAATAAAGAAAAAAAAACGATTTAACGATTTCTATTATGTATAAAAATACATAATTTTTATATAACGATATATTCCATACGAGTCTTACACTCTTACAACCCCAAAAATAAACAAATAAATAAAACTTTGCGTTTAAATTATATGGTCGTAGCACTGTAATTAATAAATACTTAGAATATAAAGAAATAAGCAAAAATTAGTGTAATGATCTTCATGCTGATACACGAAGAAACACCAAAAATTCAGCCTACAGGTTTATAAAAGGTTATGCATTTCCGAAAAGGTAGTTGAGATAGTGAAAGAATTGAGAGAAAAAGATTCACCGAAGAAACTATAGAAACTGCATCCACGTACCATTGATTGCGAAAGACAACATGGTAAAGGAAACAGGTCAACTCGTCTTGGAAGCGAAATCTTCTAGTGAAATGAAAGCGGAGGAAAAGAAAACGTAACAAGGTAACGAGATACCGATGTGAGAAGAATTCAATGAATATATAAGAGTGAACGCGGAATGCTTGTCGAGAATCCCACCCTATAAAAAATTTTTTAGAAAATTAATCACATATCAGAGTTTTTTTAGAATGAAACTAGGAAAAATGATCATTTATCGGAATTTTCCCCAGAAAATTTTTTATTGGGCCAAATGACGAGTTGTTTTCGTTAGACGATGTGGAACACATAAATCCGCGCAGGAAGCGCAGGAAGCGTTCAAGATTAGATAAGCATATAGGTATGAGAATTAATTATGTAGATAGGTATACGAATTAATTGAATTACATAAATTTATGTAAATTAATTTGTATTGAAGGTGGTAAGAAACGATATAATGGGAATACATACAGTAGATAGAGATATTAGATCGTCTGTATTATTTGTAAATTGTATACAATAGTATATAGTGTAAATTCACGATCATGTGTTTTAATTCTATGTATTTCTGGTATTGTTAGTGGTAATTTCCCTAATTTGTGTTACTCTAACAATAAAGAAATACGTTTACTGATAAAAGAAAAGATCTTCATGCTGATACTTTACTGGCATACTGGCAGATGCGTTGAATGATTTCTTTTATGACAAATTCTAAATGATGTAAATTTAATTCAGGAAGGAATTCAATGATTCTAAAGAGAAAGAATTTAGTCCTAGTTTCTCAATTCTTACAGAATTTGATTACATTTTCTAACAATAGCAAAATATGTGAATTCGGAATAGAAGGTATGGATTTTTAAGATTATTTTTAATAAAGTTCACGGTGTTGCGAGTCGCACAGAAAAAAAAATATTTTATTTAGTAGGAATTAACGGGTAATAGTTACACTACATAATCAATCAGTTCGCCTTATTCAAATAATATTTTATACGATAACTTTGAATGAATGGCGAAAAATAAACTTATTGGTTTAAAATAAATATTGCATATCACATGATTATGCAGAAAGTTAAGTTTAATTTAACATCACGTGATCTCAAATTTTTGGCCTAAAACCACAAATGAAAATACTGGAGTTTAAAATCGGGAGTAATTTCTTTTTTTAGCTCACAAAATCCTATTTATTGCTTTCATTTGCACCTATATTTTTTAATAAAAGCCAAAAGGCGAACTATATTTTTTTTTAGCTTGACGCATAAAGGCGTTATCATGTGAAGGTTACCCTGCAGTTACTGCATATTAATTTCTCTAAAGAATCTTTGTGAAATGATAAGGTAAATGAATAATTAAAATATTAAACGTATATATTTTATTAAAACATAATAATTTTCTTTACCAAAATGTTTAACTTATCTTGTTAATGAGTATTTTAATTTTTTAATTAATAAAATTATTCACTAGTTTGTTACCCTATTTTGTCACATTTTAAATGCTTATCGTTAAAATTTTATTTTCCCAAGATATCGGCTATCAACAAGAATTTCGTTATTTAAAGTTAGATGTGATGTGTGATGTTGATCCCTAATATTTATTCCTTAAAAAATACCCTGCTTCGTTCTAACAACCAAATATGGATTAGTGATTAAGTTGATGTTAGCTATATTTATCTCGTGAACCCGGGCTAACTTTTCCCGAAATTTCGATATTTGTTTCATTAAACAATTTCCAATCTCAATCATTTCAATAAAAAATTTTAAAATTTTAATTTTATAAATTTAAAAACAACAATCAATCTCAATCGGTTCAATAATAATTTGAATCTCTTTTATTTTTCTATAATGGAGTTTAATGTGATACTGCAGAATTAATAAATGAAAAAATTTTTTTTTATCGAAATTAGAGTATATTAAGCTATTTTCAATGAAATCTTAACACGTCCATTACATATAAATACAGTTGTCTGGAAAATATACCAAAGTACAGACCCATATTTTCCCTCAAACAAATTCCCAATTATATACGTGCTAAAAAAAAAAAAATGGACAAGAGAGTATATAGTAGAATTCCAAAAAAATCTGGCAAACTCACCCAAAAAAAAGCGATTACAACCACCGAAGAGTTAGACAAAGCCCAAATTAAAAAGGTATTTATACCTAGTAATGCTTTAATATTTCAGGTGGTGCTTTATGATATTGAAACTTGATCATCAATCATTGCAATAGATTTTTGATCTCTTCGATTATAACGGAAATGGTGGTCTTTCCCTCGCTGAAATTGATAGAGCTATTGTTGAACTTTATCCACATCTCGTATATTATGACACCGCCAAGACTGACATCATCAAAGAGGCTCAAAAAATCGCTAAAAAATCAAAGGTTTGCCTTATTTCATCGTTATAATTCTACATATTTGAAGCGAACTAACCGTTAGTTTTCTACTGTGCTAAATTTTCTAGGATGGGTTTATCAACTTTAAAGATTTCAATTATTTTATTGATTATCTTCATGATTACTGTGAGAAAGCAGTTATCTCTACTAAAAAATTAGACGAAGTTCAGGTCAAGAAGGTAACTAAAACCACTTTTAGGATAGTATTATGTAACCTTTAAAAATATTGATTTCATTTCCACTACCGACGATAGGCATTTGATTTCTATAGTAACGAAGGTGTCTTACCCCTTGCCGAAGTAAACAAAGCCGTTTTGTTACTTTATCCACACCTTAAAAAAGATAAGTCTGCCATCATGCAGGCTTACAATGAAAAAGTTCCTAAATTTTCACAGGTAGGGTCTTTGTAAATGTGCTTCTATCTTTTAATTATACATATTGAAACTAAAATTCACTTTTCCAAATTTTATTAGGGTGATTTTATTAATTTTAAAGAATTTGAATATCTCATCGATGCTCTTCATTATTATAACGAGAAAGCGGAATTCACTACCAGAAAACTGAGCAAAATTCAGGTCAAAAAGGTATTTAGAAACATATTATTTTTCGTGATAGTCTTTCGTATCTTTTAAGATAAACTAAAATAAACTTATATATATTATCTATATATGATAGATTTTTGATGTATTTGATTATAATAATGACGGTACTCTATCTTACGGTGAAATCAATAAAGCTGTTGTCATACTTTATCCACATCTCTCAAAAGATGAGTCTGTTATCATGCGTGCCTACAAAGCTGCTGATGTTTCACGGGTTCGTTGAAAATTAGTTTCATTATTTTATCTATCAAAAAGCTTAACGTTAACGTACTCATATTGTCTCATCTTTTAGGATGGCGTTATTGATTTCAATGAATTTGGACGTCTCATCGATCTTCTTCATTACTACAATGAATTGTCCTGTATATTTAAAAGACTTGATATAGATGATAATGGACGTATTGATTTTGAGGAATTCAAAAAAGGACATGATTTAATTGGAATAAGTGTGAAATCAAATACAATGCTAAAGGAGAAATTTGATGAGATTTGTGGTAATAATAAAAAGCATATTCCCTTTGATGAGGTAATAATCTTTGGTTATTGAGATGTTTAAGAAAACGTTCTATATATTTGATGCTAACCTTTATGTATTTATTTTCAGTTCCTTGATTACGCTGCCAAGATAAAATTGATATCTGAAGATGCTCAAGGAATTCAGAAGACTCTGGAAGCTCAAGAAATTCCGGAACTTCTGGAAACCCTAGAAACTCTTGAGGCTCCAGAAACTCGGGAAAGGGAGACTCAGGAAACTCAGCCAATTATATCTCAAAAATCGGTTTCTCTCACAAATTCATCTTCGCAAAACCAGCGGTGGATAACATTTACGTATTTTTGTTTATTCTTTATAGCAGGAGTGGGCATCGCTGTTTCTCAAAAATACTTAGAACAATGTTATGTTAAATTAATTTTATTTTAGCTATCACGTAATATAAATCTACAATGAGATTAATTTTTGTATAAATTAGATTTTTGTAAATATAATACAATATAATTGACCAAATTTATAATGAGCCTGGTCGACTTGGTAAATTCAAATTTAACCCGTACTGATTTCAAATTTGGTTCTATACTTAGAAATTTGTAACCTTCTTTTTTAAAAAAAAATTTATTCAAAAAAAAAAAAAAAAAAAAAAAAAAATAGTTTTTTATTTAGTTATTAGAAAATATTTTCTTACTTTTTAAATAAAAATATATATTTTTTTTATTGTACTTAAGTCAATTTAGTAATCAATCTTCTCCTTTCGTCTGACCCGTTAAATAAAATTGAAAAGTTTGTTTAACAAACTGTCGAATCAACGTGTCTAGTTTTTTTCATGCGATAATTATAATTATCATGTACAGTGAGTTACAAAAAGTAACCGACCACTTAAAATAAAACTGTTTTCATTGATAATTTTATATTTATATTAAAAAACATTTTTTCACGTAATTAATAATAAAATTGTGTATAAATATTCAATTTTCAAAGTAAAAAAAATTTCAACTTTTTTAATCAAAACAGCTAGAGTAAAATAAATGCCAAAAATCGATTCTTTGACTTAAAATTTGCCTATCTTCAAAATATGTTGATAAATCTACTTTTAAAATCAACGAATTTTTGTGAAATCCTTATTATTTTATATATATGTAGACTAGCATTTTAAGCACGTTTAACAGCAGCATTTCTTTCTTGTTGTAAGGTAATTAAAGCTTCTTGTATATCAGTCAATTTATGTTCATATTGAGCTTTAATAATAGTATATTCTTCTTCAGCACGTTCCAATTATTGAAACGAGTTGTTCCTTAACAGCAACATCAGCAGCTAAAAGTTTAGAAATCCGATCTTTAAGATTTTTAATTTCTGTTTCATAACCTTGAAAGATAAAATGAGTTTTAATCCTATATTCACAGTATCTGAAAGATCTTGATCATATAAAACTAATTTCAAATAACGGTAATATGATAGCAATGTATATTTTGGTATTTGTTATAAAAATGCAATAGGTGTTGAAAAAGATTATATTAAAGCTTTTTGAATTATTTAAAAGAAGGGTATTCAAATGGAATATTGATGTTAGGATATTGTTATGTATGATGAAGGTATCGGATAATCTTGAAATATATTCAAAATGCTGCAAAATTTAGGAAATGATGTAGCACAAAATAATCTTGCTTCACAACGCTAATTTTTTAAAAAATTCAAGATAATGAATGAATATATTACCTTAAAAACATAAATATTCTTATATATATTTTATTCAGTTTATAATATATTATGTCTCTGAATTAGGGTTGGATCACAAAAAACCGGTCTTTCAGTCCAAGTCCTTTATTTTATTTATAATGTCGGTTATAGTTGAGTTGATGATTGATCAACAAAACAATGAAATAAAAGTCACAATTTTGAGCTTAATTTATTATCGTGTTCATTGTTATTTAAATATGGCTCAAATGAAATCTCTGAGGTTCCTTAACGTACGCACCGTGCGTACGTACATCCTACCAGTTATGCATTTGCACGTGATAGCGTTAAACTTAACTCCGGCCAGTGCGTACGTTAATATCGTACACATAATGCGTAGTTAAGGATGCTCGAAATCTCTAAGAATAAAAATACTGGTCCATTTTTGATAAAATTTTAAAAAATTGCATGATTTATATTGAAAATATTAAAAAAAAAAAAGCGAAAATGATCAGCGCTTGTAAATTGCAATTCCTATTCACAAGTAATAATGTCCTCATTGTAAAATCAATATTTTTCTTATTAATACGTCGCAAGTTGATCTACGTGTCATACAGTATATTTATTTGGCGTATTTCAGGGGGTCATATAGGTAATGTTATATAAATCGTAATACATATTCAATAAAATTGTCTATTGTGACAAAAACAAATTTTGTTACTTCAGTACGGTAAATAGTCCTTTCGCTAACTCTTCGGACAATTAAATATTTTTCTTAAAATGTAAAGATTTTTAAAATATTTCGCAAAAAATTAATGTTTATTAATATACTTAAAAATACTTTGCAATATTTAATGAATTATAATTAATGTTATTTAGTAATTAGAAGTTTTTTTGCTTTATATTAAATAAAAATGTAATTTTTTTCATACAAAAGGTATATTTTTTCCTTTTATTTTTAATTTACTTATAATTAATTCACTATCGGTAAGTTGAACCGTCGATGAAATAATTATCGGTGAAATAGACTGAACCCTATAACAATCAATTGAATAAAGTGAAAAATAAACATGATGCTACTATATTGTTATCTAGTCAATTAACGTAATTTTATGGAAAAAAAAAAGATAGTTTGGGCTTCCATATTCTTTTTATCGGAATTTGATCTGCAAATCAATTTCGAATGATTAACTTTTCGAATGAAAATCAATATCCGACTCTTAACCTTTTGTCGTTATTATAATACAAGAGTTCATGTTTAGAGGGGAGTTGGGTTAGTGTAAATGTTAATCTAAGATTTAGTAAATACTACTTTTTTAATAAAAAAACGTTGAATCCGGCGTTTTTCATTAAAAAAAATAAATCTGACGTTTTTTCATTAAAAGAAAAAAAAAACGTTTTTTAATAAAATTTGACGGTTTTCCATTAAAAAAGAATAAAAAACGTCAGGTTCGACGTTTTTTCATTAAAAAAAAATAATAAATGTCAAACACGACATTTTTTCATTAAAAGAAATAAAAAAATATTTTCTAGTCAAACCCGATGTTTTTCCATTAGAAGAAATAAAAAACATTTTTAAAAAACGTAAAATTTTTCGGGTAGATGTTGGATTTGTTTAAACACCAAGGGATTAGATGACTGTTCCCTGGGCTTTGTGTGATAAAAGAAATCTTTTTCCTAGAATTTAAAGTGCATCATGTAAGGCGGTTCCATCGTTCAATTTGTTGTGATGATCGAACGACGTCGAACCGTAACTTGGAATATTCTTTGTAATATGGTCATTGTACGCTAGTAATCGGTTGTGGAAATCTATCCTTTTGGTTTGTTCAACCATGCGTTTAAAATCAGGGTAACGGTTTCCGAGTCCGGGATTGTATTTTCTAATTGTAACGGTGTAAGCTATGCCGAGACGAGCCGAGTGAATTTCTTTGACACTTTTTTATTGGTCGATGCTGCCTTTTGTTAGCATCTTTTTCATTTGGTCTTTGTAGAAGCGTGGGTCTTTCGCTAATGTATGTGTTCGGTGAAGTAATGGTATGGATTTGACGTAGTGTCCACAACGCCAACGGTTTTTTGACGTCACGAAGGCGGGTGGTAAAACACGAAACGTGTCATTATTGATTTTTTCGCATCGGTGATGGAAGCCTATGTAAATCACGTGTTCACCGGAACTGAATCGGATAAAAGTTTTAGTTCTTTTTTTATTTTCTTTGTCAATATCTAGCCTGTGAAATATAGCGTAATATTTTTCTTTGAGGAGTTGGCGTAATCTATTGAAGTATTTGCTCACGGTTTGTTTAGAAAATTGTCGATTTAAGGAAAACACAAACGTGAGGTATATCTCTAAAATAATGGGTGGATCCTTCCTTTTTTGAATAATTCCAGCGGCATTACGTAATTTTGGCCTGAAGAATAAATGAGTGCTGGTCTCTTGTTACCTATTTATATACTTTGTACGCTGTAACAAATAAAAGAAATTGACAGGCCAAAATTAAAATGAATTATTTAAAAAAGGAATGATTTACATATTATTTTTGGTTTTGTTATCTTTTTATGGAATATTAAATAAATTGTACAAAAATTTATACTTCCTTTTTCCTTTACCAACATGGCATGCTCAAAAATATGTTCAGGAGATTTACCTGAGTTAATAAATGAAGTTATACAATATTTTCGCTATGATTATAAAACATTACATTCATGTATATTAGTTAATAGATTATGGTGTCATCTAGCAATTCCATTATTATGGGAAGATCCTTTTTCAAATCCAACTAAAAATTATCATTTTATTGAAATTTATTTATGCTTTTTAAATGAAGATGGAAAAGCAAAGTTTAATGAATATGGAATTAATAATTTATTACTTTCAAATAAATTATTCAATTATCCTAGTTTTATTAAATACTTAAATACAAATAAAATTTGTAATTCTATTAAATATTGGGTTGATACCTTAATGGATAAATACGATGATAATCTAAAAAACTTAGTTTATAGGTCTTTATTTGAAGTATTCATTGAAAATGAAGGAAGTTTACATTCTTTTGAAGCTGTACTGTCTATTGGTAATAGTTGTAATTATTTTAGTAATAACATGGATTTGATTTTACAAAATCCAAATCTTATAAATAATATCAGAGGGTTAACATTCCGTGGTTTTGGTACTTTATCTCAAAATATTATTCCATTTTTGAAATTATTATATTCTAATTGCAATTCAATTTCATCGATTATTATTAATTTTCCTAAATATATTTTTATGATTGATAATTATCCATTAATTGAAAAATGTTTAACACAAATAATTATTTCACAACATAATCTCAAAAAAATTTCATTTGGATCTTTTGTTAAATTATATAACCCATTTTTATCATTAAAAACTTCTAATTGTTCAAATACTTTAAATACAATTATATTTTATTTAATTAATTTTAAAAATATAATTAATATTTTACAAGAGGTTTTTGATCATTTAAATGTTTTAGAATCTATTCATCTTATTTATTGTGAATATTTAAATTCTGATTCTATTCAACAAATTATTAAGGTTACTAAACCTTTTAAATTGAAAACTTTGATTATGAGTGAAATAATACATATTGAATCATTACTATTACTATTACAGAAATTTGGTGATTGTTTAGAAAATTTTGGATTTGGAAATATAGATGAAATAATAGACGAATATAATGAACCAAAACGACAATTATTTGAATTTATTACGAAATATTGTAAAAAGATTAGATATTTTGAATCGGGATTACCTGACGATAATAATACTTACTTGTTCATTAAAAATAATCAACATAATATTAATTATCTTACTATTGAAGCAGATTTTCATGATCATTATGCTGTTTATAATGTGAGTTCAACTGTATTACGAAATTTAGGACAAGTTCTTCCTTCTAAATTAGAATATTTATGTTTAACTCTTATATTTACTACAAATGATTTGGAAATATTTTTAAAAAATTCACAAAATACTTTTATTAAGAAATTATTAATTAAACAAATAATTGTAGATGAAGATGAAAATATTGATATTTCATTTTATATAAAGAAATATATTATGAAGAAGGAAAGGGTTAAATATTTGGCTATTTTAAAAGAAGATTTTGATGACAAAGAATTGTTTTTTTTAAAAGACGAAGTAAATGAATTTAAATTACATAATATTGTAGTTCAAAAATACAATAATTTACATATTGATACATATAGTTATGTAAATAATTATTTACAATATTAATAAATAAAGCTTTTACAAACCTGTATACCGTATATAAATGTTGAACTAACTTGTATGAGAAAAGTATGAAGTGAATTAGTAATGGTTTTGAAAAAGCTTGAGTATACTGTATGTCGCATAAAGTCACGTGTAATATATTAAATCATAAAGTCTACTAAATTAAACATTCTTGTTTTGCTAATTTTACTTTAATAAATTAAACTACTTTGATTTGCAAATAAGAATTTGAATATTAAAGTAATGTAAATAAACTGATAAGGATTAACGAATATAAGATTCCCATATTTTCAAAATATGTAATTTATTCTTATATCGATAAAAACATGGGTAAAAAAAGCAAATTCTATTTTTATTTATTATCTAAAATGGCTTCTATTACCATTAAATCTACTTATGTATGAGCGAGTCTATTAACATTTTTTTGTAATAAAATTTCAGAAAGAAATTTCTAGTTGAATAAGAGATCTTAATAAAGTCATCTATATAACTAAAAAATATTCACATGTTTCTATGTAATGAATTATAATTCTGTAAATTCTCTTTATCATGTGTCAACATAAAGCAGACACAAAACGGGTATTACCCATTTTTACCCGTTTGTGAAGAATAATCTGAAATTAGACAAATTACTAATTACCCTATAAAAAAATTTTAGAAAATTGATCATTTTTTGGAATGAAAACTAGAAAAATGATCATTCGTTGGAATTTTCCCCAGAAATATTTTTATAGTTATACCCCGTCGCACTAAGTGTGACTTATGATATAGAACATTGTAATTTCCCTAATTAAAAGTATAAGCTTTTTTTTCCCATGAAATTTTTATACAGTTTTTTTCATAGCAATAAACTTTTTTATACTCCTCAAATTATTTTTTCATTATTACAAATATATAAAATTACATTACTACACTATTTATTTAACTATTCAAATGGTTTAACAATAACTTCTACTTTTACATTATTACAATTTTGAATATTAATATTTTCAATATTAATTACTGGTAATTTTGATGAATCTTGAGTTATTTTATGGTCTTGTTCTAAAGATTGTATTTCAAGTTGATCATATCGTAATAATTGAGAAGCAGGAATAAAACCTAAAAAGAATATTTAATTTTTCAGATTAAAAGTAAAAAAATAAATATGGAAAATTATGGTACCTTGATTTCCCGATGTATTTTCTCTTAAAGGATTTTGTTTTTTGTTAGAAAAATTTTTAGTTAAACATTCTTCATTAAGATCATCCGCATTTCTTTTTTGGGGAATAAGAAGTGAAACATTTTTTTTTCTTTGTTGAGCAGTTGAAGTTGAATATGCAGAAATCCCAGCAAGTGTTCTATGTCCTGTAATATCCATCTGTTCTGCATGAGATATACCAAGTAACATCCATAAAGAAATTCCAGTTGAACGCATTGAATGATTGACAAGATTACGTCCATTTGCATCAATTTTACAATCTGCCACAATATTTTTAAGCATATTATCATGAGAATTTTTGCCAAGTTTTAAATCAGAAAACCAATTACCATGATATATTTCTCGTGGTGTATTTATTTNCAATATTGATATCAATAGTTTATTTGCGTACAATATTAAATATCGATAGTTTATTTGCGTACAATATCGAATATTAATAGTTTATTCGAACATGATCTGCATTAGCCGTACGATAACATAGATATTGTACGGTGGTATTTATATTGGTTAACGTAGTGACGTTAACCAATATAAATACCACCGTACAATATCCATTAATTAAAAAATAATCTCTGAATTTTTTTTTAAAAAAATTTCATTGAGTAAAAAAAATAAGTTGAATTTTAATTTTTACAAGCTCATTATGTCGCGAAAAAGGCAATAAATTTTGCCTGAAAAATATGTTATTGTATTATAATTTCGAAATATTATGCAAATAAAACTTTATAATCAAAATTGAATTTTTGATTTTGACTTTTTCATTCGAATCTTCAAATTTGGCTCATTTAAACATCAATTTGCCAATCATCATTACAAATATGAGCAATTAAAAATTTATTTTACTATGAATTTAAAGGTGTTTCCATTTTTCGAGTCCTATAATGATTTGTTAAAATTGTTTTTTTTTTAAAAAAATTAAATTTTCAGAAAATAATTCTAGTCTACAATAGCTTAACTTTAACGTCATTTGTACCTTTGTAGTTTTTAACATCAAAAGAAATAATAGAAGATCCAAGTTGTCGGTAGTGATATATTTTTTTGTATGATCAGATGATCATCATTTTGTTTACAATGCAGCACATGACAGGCAGGTTAGTAGACAATATTAAAATTTTGGTGGTTGCACAACTTATTTGTTTAACCGTCTATTGAGACTTTATTTTTTTTTTTGCATTATTAAAAAATAATTTGTTTTTTTACAAAAATGTCTAATATTCGGAAAAAATTAATACGAGCAGTACTTATTAGATCATTTACATCAATTGATTATAATATTTACGTTGACTTTCATGAACAATACGAATTTCGTAAACAATTCGTTCTTGCTGATAATTCTCTTACAGAAGAAGAAAAAACTGAAGCAATAAGAATAATGAATAAAAATTATGACCGAAATAAAATTTTTTATAATGAAGGAATAAGAAGAGTTTGTGAAAATTGTAACCAAAAATGTTTAGCTACATTATATTGTGAATATTGTGTTCGAAATTATTTAAAATATAATTTTTCAAATTGGACTTCTGGAAATAATGTTATTGATAATTTAATAAAAAGTTGTCAAATGGAAACATTTACGCCAGATGGTATTATTGAATGGATCCCATATAATAATTTAGAAAATATTAAATATCTGACAAAAGGTGGATTCTCAGATATTTATACAGCATATTGGATTGATGGAAAATATGATGAATGGGATTCTAAGAAGCAACAATTAATAAGATTAGGAACTCATGCTGTAATACTTAAAGAATTAAAAAATGTTGAAAATGCAAGCCAAAGTTGGTTTGAAGAGGTTTGTAAGTTAAAAATATTTAAAGAACTTAAAATTTAAAATTTAATTATTAATAATAAAATTTATTATTTTAAAGGCTAAATCGCATTTAACTTTAAGCAACAAAAATTCAGAGATTGTTCAATGTTTTGGTTTAACACAAAATCCATCAAATGGAATTATTTACTTGTAATTATGAAGTTTAATATGAATTTAAGAGAATATTTACAACAAAATCATAATCAACTTACATGGAATGAAAGGATTAAAATTACTTTTTTAATAATTGATGCACTTTATTGGATTCATAAAGAGAATTCAATTCATAGAGATTTGCATTCTGGAAATATATTATATTCACAGTTTAATGATAATTGGCAGATTAGTGATCTTGGATTTTGTGGTCCTGCAGACAAACCATCAACAAGTATTTATGGAAATCTTCCCTATATAGCTCCTGAAGTTATTAACGGAAAAGGTTATACTTTTAGATCTGATATTTATAGTATTGCAATGCTCATGTGGGAAATTTCATTTGGACAACCTCCATTTATGAATTATGAACATGATTATATTCTTGCAATTGATATCATTGATGGTATAAGACCAAAAATTGTATCAGAAATTCCTTTGGAATATAAAAGTTTAATGGAGCAATGTTGGGAAGCTAATCAACTAAAAAGACCTGATACTAATACACTTTATAAAAAAATTAAAGAAATTAAATCATATTATCAAAATAATCCAAATGAATTACCTCAATTAATAACAAAAATAGATAAAAAAACAAGCAATATTTTAAGTAGTAAACTATTTACAAGTAAAATTCATAAATTTGAAAATCTACCTGAACCAAAAAATGCAACAGAAGGTATGCTTTTTTAATGTTTATTAACTATTTAATTTTTTTTCTTTAATATTATAATTAATGATAACTTTTTTTTTTAATTAAATAATAATAGAAGAACAAAAAGGTAATCAGTATAAAGTTAATAATGTTATTGTATAAATCCTTTAATTAATAACTAAATCGAGATAATCTTTTTATTTAAAAATAGCATTGTATATCAGTAGATCATATGATTTTAGTCTTTCTGATAATAGTAAGTATTTATTAAAATAACATTGAATTTTTATATAAATAAAATATCATATTGATTGGTTTTCATTATAGCTAGTAATCTTAGTAAATCGGGTAAAATTAATTTTAAAGGTAATTTATTTTTATATTCAAGTTTTATAATGAATAAATACTAATTTATATCTTAATTACTTTAGAAAATGATAGTAAAGAATCATCCAGATTATTTAAAAAATTGAAAGTGGAGAATGGTAAAATATTTAATTCTAATTTTCGTTGAAGATAAGAATGAATATTTTATTAAATTTTGATTTATTTTATAATAGTAGACGTACAAAATGACCATGATAGAGAAATAATGCAGCAACGATCAGATATTAGTGTTAATGGTAAGTAAAATAAATTATTATTTATAATAAGGCTGTTGCAACTTAATTGTTTGTTTAACGTCCAGGCCTTTTGAAAAAATTAAGGGGGGAGGGGGGCTTAAGTTAAACAAACTAAATAAATAAACATAGGAAAATTTGAAAATTTCAGAAGGGATTATTTATCATTATATGTTTATTAGCTTTTAAATTTTTTCAAAAATAGAGGGGGTATTTAATAATATGTGTTTATTAGATCTCAAATTTTTAAAAAAATAGAGGGGGGTGGTGGACGTTAAACAAATAATCAAGTTGGAACGGCCTAATGATCAAGCATTATTATTCTAATTTATCTTATTTATATAATAGATGAAGTACAAGATAATCCAAATCTTCATTCAGAAGAAAAAGATAAAACTCCCGATGGTTTGTTTATAATTTAAATATTTTTTTTAATAAAATTAAAATAATAAAATATATTTATTTACTAATGTAATTATTTCTTTAGATGGATTTCAAATTAATTTTCAATTAATTTGAAAACAAATTCTTTTTTTAATATTTATTATCTTATTTTGAAATTATTTAAACACTAAGATTAGAGTAGTAAAAAAAAAGATTCTTAGTTTGTAATTTAAATAATTCAATCCTCTATATTTTTTATGGGACTTTTCAATTATTAAATAAAGATATTATAAATTATTATAAAATATTATTGTAAAAGTAATTCTGTAACGACGCTTTAGTATTTTACAATAAAAAATTATTTATAAACCATTCATTTGATTAATATTTTACGTTACGAAATATAAAATATTCAAGCGCTGATATTACAAGTAATAAAAAAATAAAGTTTTTCAATATTGTGCTATCCTTGCAGCAAAGCAAGCTTCTAATGATGCATATTGGTATAATGACCTTATGAAACAGAACCTTAGAAACAAAACCAATAGAAAACCCAAAATGAAAATAAATTTATTGCCGATCATCATAAAGTATTTGAGCCTTTAGTTAAATTTATTGATTCAGAAGAATCGAGGGACAAGTTTGACCGACATCATTGACCCATAATTTTAGCTGTTTATTGGCAAAAAGTAAGGTCAAGTAATTTTAAGACAAATTATATTCGAAGAGCGCAAATATCAAATTGTTCTAATTATTACGTTTGGGATGAGTTGGACATGGATCAAAACTTATCATTGAATATTATGGAAAAATTGTATACTATGTTCTAAGTAACCTTAATTATTATTATGGCATAGTGTTAGGGCGAAAATGATACTAGGAAGTAAAAGAATTTTTGAATGGGATGTTATTGTTGAGAAAAATTGTACATATGCTTGGGTTGGAGTACGTTCATCAGAAAATTTTAATTATGAAACTTTTGCAGGAACTCAATCTACTGAATGGGTATTAAGTTACGGTGGTTATTATTGTTGTAATTCTGGCAATTATATAAAAAATTATTGTCCATTATTCGGAGATGGCACAAAAATTACAGTTCACTTAGATATGAATAAAAGAACTTGTGCTTTTACGGTCAATAGTACAAAATATCCGGAAGTATCAGCATGGAATAATTTACTATCAAAGCTTTATCCAGTGACATCATTATTATGATATCCTGGTTCAACCTCGTTAAAAGATATTTAATTGTGAATTATAAAATAAAAATTTTTACGTCATTATTCTTTAGCTAACAACAAGAGTTTGGGAATTTAAAAGAATCTTTTTAGTAGATCGAGACTAAATTCGTTCAAAAAATATGTTTACGTACGAAATTTATATTAATTCTATTATTATTTTTCTTTTTTCTTAATCGATCGAACCACGTGAACAAAACATGAAATTCTTACTATAATAATTTATCAAGGATTCAAGATTACTTAAGAATGTTATAAGTCTAAAATCTTGTGATTAGCTAAATGTTTCATAATGTAAATATGATGTAAACATTTTGATAGCCTAATTCATGAAAACAAAAAATTAATCTTTCTATTTTAGATCTCATACATCGAAGAAAGCGACGTAATTTTTTTAATTGTTTATTTACTAATTTATTAACCGCAGTTACTTTATCGGATTTACTAAAATCGACAAATCTAATATTATTGTAACCAACCATAAGAATATCCTTAAATGGAAGTACTGAAATGATTACAAAATATTTTTTTTTTCCTAAAGGAAAAATGATGAGAGGATATTCATTAGGAGAAGATGACGTAAGATTATTAATATGTAATCCAAAGTATAGTGATGTAGAAATTTTATATGAGGATGAAAAGAAATTATACAGTATACTTAATGAATTATATTTTTTTAAAAAAAAACATCTTAAAAATTTTTGTTGTTTATTTAATTAATAGTAAAATTCTTTAGATCATATTGTAATCTATCGGCAATTATCTTTGAATGTCTATACTTTCTATATTAATTCCAAAGCTAGATAAGTATTGTTTAAAATCTGGCAAAATTATATTTATCATAATATATATTAATAAAAGAAATACGTTTATTACGCTAACAGGTTAACTAATATTTGTAATTGGCTTTATTGTGTAACATAAATCACGGGTACTGGTTAATACTTGAACCAAACATCGAATCTGCTATACAAACTGTTATTATATTGCGTAACCTATATGAACTTGACGTTGGTATCACTAATAAAATTCAATGTTTACGAAAAAAAGGATAACTGGTTAAATAAAAAAATTTCTTATTGTCAAGTTATGGAATATTCATACGAATTTTTAATAATAATATATACAACACCTTATTAAATTTTACATGAAAATGGATTTTTAAAGTTTTTCCTTAATATTTAATCAGTTTTTTAAAATTTTGTAGTTTATTTAGCCTTGACACACTTGCGACAGAATTTAAAAAGAATTATTGGCAGGTTATGAGTTATTAATATGAGTAACTAATATATTGAATTCAGAAGTATGGTTATAAAGAATTATAAGTTACTTGATTTGTACTTTAATCAAAACTAGAGTGAATATTTATCATTCAATTTATTTTAATGTCATTATTATTACGAAGAAAGGTCCAGGAAATATCATCAAAATGGAAAAAAATTTCCAGAAACTTCTCAGACTAAAACAATACAACAGCTCACGTTTTGAGTCAGAAAAATAATATCTTTTGATTTGGATTTTTTTTTATTTGGTTATAAAATATATATCAAAATTTCAATAGCCTGTTATTAATATGCATATTATTTATAAAAACTATTAATATATTATAAATATATCATTAAATAATATCCTTATTATTCTTTTAATTTTAGAAACTGATCCACTTTTCACATTATTTTGACTGTTATTCGAATTACTGTATAACATGTATCAATTGTATCATGTATGTAATAAATCGAACCATTTATATCATACATTGACCAAAGCTATTTAAACGAGTTTTAAGATAATGATCGCCTTATTTGTGAGAACACGTGAGCACACACTTTTTAAACAATCAACATAATTGCAAAATTGTGCGACATCATCGGTATCACAATTCCGGAAAAACTTAAAAATTACCTTTTTTTTGAATTTTTATTAATAATCCCCCCCTTTTCTATTCCTTTGCAAAAAATGTCATGTTCAAAAATATTTTCTGGAAATTTACCTGAATTAATGGGTAAAATTATTAATCATTTTCGGAATGATTTTTCAACGTTACATTCATGTATCCTAGTAAATAGAATATGGTGTCGTTTCGCAATACCAATATTATGGGAAGATCCATTTTCAAATCCTTCTAAAAATAATCGTTTTATTGAAATTTATTTTCATTATTTAAATGAAAATGATAAAGCACAATTAAAAGAATATGGAATTAATAATTATTTAATTCTATCAGATACATTATTTAATTATCCTACTTTTATAAAATGTTTAAATACACAAAATATTATGCTTTTTGTTGAAGGTTGGGTTAAAAATTTAATAATTGTTGAATCTTATAATACCTTTTCTACACAAGATACAAATTTCCCTTTATTTCCAAGTTCTTATCGATGGTTAAATGCTTCAAAATTTGTTTTTTTATTATTAATTAAAATATTTATTAATAATGGAATACATTTACATACTTTTGAAATTAATATTCTTTCTGATATGGATTGTAATTATTTTAATATTGCTTTAGGATTTATTTTACAAAATCCAAATTTCATTTATAAGATTAAAAATTTAAAATTTTATTTTAATGAAAAAATTATGAATGTAAATTTTTTTTTAAAATTTTTACATTATAATTGTAATTCAATTACATCACTTCATTTACGACATTCTGGTGTAATTAATTATGAATTAATTAAATATGATTTATCAAAATTAATTATTTCACAAAAAAATCTTGAAAATATTTTATTTGAACATGATAGATATGGTACATTATTACCATTAAATCATTTATTATCATCTTTAAAATTTTCTAATTGTTTAAATACATTAAAAACAATCATATTTTATGAAATTAATTTTAAAGGTATTAATACTTTATATGAAGTATTTCAACAATTAAATGCTTTAGATTCTATTCATATTCTTTATTGTTATTCTTTAACATTAAATTCTGATTTTATTCAACAAATTATTAATCTTACTAAACCATTTAAATTGAAATCTTTATTTATGGAAGAAAATAATGAAATATTACAAATTGATTCAATACAATTATTATTACAAAAATCTGGTGATTATTTAGAAAATATTGGTTTTAGATCATTAACAGGTGATCAAATTAAACAACAATTATTTGATTTGGTAAAAAATTATTGTACAAAAATTAAATTTTTTGAATTACTTGGTTTTAATAAAAATAATTTAAATTCTGTACTTGATTTAATTAAAAATTTTAATCAATCACTTAATTATCTTTCTATATATGATCATAATCATCCTGTTGGTCTTAGTTCAATTATTTTACAAAATTTAGGTCAATTACTTCCTTTTAGATTAGAATATTTATGTTTATGTCTTAGATTTAATACAAATGATTTTGAAATATTTTTAAAAAATTCTCAAAATACTTTTATTAAAAAATTAGTTATTAGAAATCAATCAAGAGGTGAAATTGAAAATATTTTACCATATATTAAAAAATATATTATGAAAATGAAAAGAGTTGAATATTTAGCTATATTGGAAAATTTATTTGGAAATAGTGAAGATTTGTTTACTTCAATGGATGAAGTAGAAGAATTTAAATCATATAATATTAAAGCTAAAAATTATGATGATTTATATATTCAACCTATTAATTTTATAAAAGAAAAATATATTTAAATTAAGGCTTGTATAATTATTGGGGTAGTTAAATTGGGATTAAATCTCCTTCTGGCATATGAATATCATTGTTTCAACTATTCATTAGTTTTTCTATTATCATGATGTATTTTCTACAATTGTAAGATACTGCTGCATATTACACTTTTTCCTTCAAAAAAAGCCTGATCTACAAAGAAAATATTAAAATAGGAGAATAGGATATAGGAAATTGGCCAGATTATGTGTTATATTGTATATATTCACTTATGAGTTGTTTTGTAAAAAAAATAATTATACACATATTTATAAAAAATTTATTATAATCTTATATTACATTAAAATTACTCAACGTGAAAAATAGCCCATGTGAAAAAATTTATGTTGAATATATTAATGATATCAATGATGTCTTATTACAATTATGTTATAAATAATTATGCACACTTTATGTTATTACAATCACTTTCATTAAATAATACAGATAATATAAGAAATATCTCTTCGGATATGATGATAACTTGATTTCACATACAGAATATTATTATATTATGTGGCTGAAAGTCACATAGTATCCTGGTGGTAAATCAGTTATCATCCACAACATGATTGACTGGATAACAAAATTATTATTTTGATTTTACGATATAGCTTCGCTTACTATAACAATAAATTCGTTAATTTAATTAATAAAAATAATGTTTACTTATAGTAAATTATTTAATATAGTCATAAAGATAATAAGTAGTATATCAAATTTATTTCTTCAAGTTAAAAAATGGACAAATTTGTATTCACGTCGTTAACCTATTGAGATACTTCGCATCTTAATGATACAATATCCAAATAATATATTGATCGCTGCATTAAAGCTAACCCTTTATGCTTTATTGCTACGCTAATCATGTCACACAGATTTACCCAATTTAGGCAATTATTATTAATATTCACATGTGGCTGAAACTTCAAACTTAAATTTTTTGCACCTCTTATTATTTTCTTTAAAAAAAAAATGTCGTCAAAATTTTTAGTAGAATTATCTAACGATTACGAAAAACTTTTTGAAACAGAAATAGGATATGACGTTATTATTTATGCTGGAGAAGAACCAAATGTTAAAGAAATTCATGCACATTCAAATATTTTATGTATTAGGTCAAAATATTTTCGTACTGCATTTTCTAATGAATGGGCTGAAAAAATAGACGGAAAATTTATTTTTAGAAAACCAAATATTTCACCTCATTTATTCAACATCATTCTTAGGTAACGTAAACATTTATATAATTAATTAATATTTTAGCATTATTCTATAACCGTAAATATTAATTATTTAAATATATATTTAGGTTTATTTATAGCGGAAATATTGAATTGAAAAATTTGCAAGGACCAGATGTATTGAAATTATTAATAGCAGTAGATGAATTTAATATTCAACAATTAATTTCTCATATTCAAGAATATTTGATTAATCATCAAACTGAATTTTTACATCAAAATCCAACTGGTATTCTTGAAATTGTTTATCAACATGAAACATTTACGGATTTATGGAATTTTTGTCTTGAAAAAGTTTGTGAAGAACCTAAAATCTTATTTAATTCTGATAATTTCACTAATTTGAAAGCTCCTTTGTTAGAATTATTATTAAAAAGGGATGATTTAAATATGGATGAAATTGAAATTTGGGAAAGTTTATTAAGGTGGTGCTTTACTCAACAAAATATTAAAAATGATCCGACAAAATGGAGCAAAGAAGATATTACAAAGATTGAGAGATCATTACATAGATTTATTCCTTTGATTAGATTTTATAATATTAGCCCTACAGATTTTTTTTACAAGGTTTATTGTTATAAGGAAATCTTACCACAAGATTTGATTCATAATCTTTTAGAATTTCATATAGTTCCTAATATGAAACTTAAAACTAATGTAGCACCTCCAAGAAAATATCAAAAATTTAAACTTGATTCAACCTTAATTGAATCAGAACATGTTTCTCTTTTTGCATCATGGATTGATAAAAAAGATTCCTCATATTACAATAGTAAAAATTGTCCTTACGAATTTAAGTTATTATATCGTTCAGGTCAGGATGGATTTAATGCGGAATCATTTCATAAAAATTGTGATAATAAAGGTGCTACTATTTGGATAGCAAAAGTTAAAGGCTCAACACAATTAATTGGAGGATATAATCCACTTGACTGGAGTGGAAATGGTAATAAGAGTACTACAGATAGTTTTTTATTTAATTTTACAGATGGAAATGATATTTCTTCCGTAAAATTGAGTCCCATAAATAATCTGAAATGCGCAGAGGCTATTTATTGCTTTAATAATCAAGGGCCCAGCATGGGAAGTTTATATTGCAAGAAACCCAATAATTGGACTTATTATGCTGGTAGTACCACTTACCCTAATATAGGTATTCCATCAAATTTTACAATAGAAAATTATGAAGCATTTAGCATAGTTAAGCAATAATAACACGTGATGTCGATTTTGTCCAAAAATAGTTTCAACAATCTTCATTTTCAAAAATTACATAAAATTACATGAATATGTGATTATGGTATTCATATCGCAACATGTAAATAACCAATAAATTTTCTGTAGTTAAATTACAATTTCTAAAATTTTTATAAATCTTAAATTTTAATTGTACCTTGCTTCTTAGTAGACGGAATTATCATGAAAATTTTAAAATATTTACTAGAGTTAAATATTATCTTGTCGTAGTTTCAATGGATGGACTAACAGTTAATGAGAATATTATTGAGATACAATAATTTATATGTACTGTAACTTCACTATTTTTAATAAATCTTCAATATGATTTTATCTCCTTTATTTTATTATTTTTATTATCAAATTTTTTGACCAAATGACAAACTAAAAGTATAAAATTTTAAAGCACACTTCATCTACAGCAGTAGTAAACTGATACTCGGCAAACCTTTTAACTGATTATTATTTATAAAAAGTTCCCTAATTTTTAATTCTTTTTCATCATCTAACTCTGATAATTTATTTTAAGCTGACAGAATTGTCAAATCTAATATGGTGGTGATTTTCCTATAAACCAACAGTGAGATGTATCTGTCTCATAAGGAAAGAAACTTTTGAACCTTAGAAATATAAACTCTCTTCATTGATTGCTGATCTTATTTTATTCAATCATTAAGATTTTTCTTTTATCGATTCTTTACAAAAAAATACAAATTCGAAAATCTATAATTTTTTTTTAATATGTATAATCAATTACATCGTCTAGTATCCAATTTGCACCAAGAAGAAGTCTATCCCATTTATCAATATTTTGTTTAACAAGAGGATAAATTTGATATAAAATAGAAGAGCTAAAATTCATTTAAAAAACTAAAAAGGAAGCATTAGTATAATGTTTATTTCTGCAAAACAGACAAATCTTTATAAATTTATTAAATTTATTGGTTAAATAATTTCTGACTTTATGAATATATATATGTATCACACTTAATAATAAACTAAATTATTGGATGGAATAATAGAGATATCAGTCTTCGATTGATATCCCATGAGTTAAAGTTTCAAGAGTGTTATAAGTATGAAAGACAAATTATACTAAATGATGCTTTTCAAAGTAAAATGCATTGGAATAAAATGCTTAATGTTTATATTGACCCAATTTTTTTATTTTTATTTTTCAAATTAAGACAGAATCATGTGACAGGCACAACAAAGTTACGCTAATTCTTAACTAAAAAAAAAGGCCCTGAACCACAATAACTCAAAGGCAATTGTATTGAAACAATTTATTATTTACGTATTATTTTAAGTTCGAAGCGAAAAACTAAAATTTGCGATTTCATTGGGTTATGATCACGTGAAGGACAGAGAAAAATTCACGGGATCGATTTTTTTTTCATAGTGCATTGACACTTCGCTTCGCTCCGGATAATAATAATCATGTGACATATAATAATCGCATGATTTACGCAGTTTATATATAGTGCTCATAATTATGACAGATAACCACTCTTAGAATAAAATAAATAAAATAATAAATAGGTCATGTAATTATGTGCAAATATATGTAAGTTTGACGTTAATTTGTGCGATAAACGGAATTGCCCGCTCCGAAATTCATAATAAATTTGACGTAACCTTCGGCACCCCTTTTCTTTCCTCTCTCTTTCATTTAACATGGCATGTTCAAAATTTTTTTCAGGAAATTTGCCTGAGTTATTAAACGAAGTCATACAATATTTTCATTATGACTATAAAACATTACATTCATGCATATTAGTTAATAGATTATGGTGTCGTTTAGCAATTCCATTATTATGGGAAGATCCATTTTCAATCAGATTTCCTAAGAATTATCGTTTTATTGAAATTTATTTGTGTAATTTAAGTGATGATGATAAAACAAGATTAAATAAATATGTAATCCATAGTGGCTTATTTCCTTCAAATACATTATTTAATTATCCTAAATTCATTCAACATTTAGATACATATAAAGTCAGTGATTCTATTAAAACGTGGGCATCTACAAATTTACCAACTTCACATATAGTGAACTTTATTACAGAACTTATTGTTAGGTCATTATTTCTAATATTCATACATTGAAAATGAAGTAAATTTGCATAGTTTTGGAGTTATAATAAAAAACTATGAAGAATTTGAATGTTTTGATGCGGCTTTTGAATTAATCTTACAAAATACCAATTTCGTTCATAATATTAAAAGTTTAACACTTGATTTTGATAGTAAAATAACTGATAATATAACAAAATTTTTGGAATTTCTCTGCTCTAATTGCAATTCAATTTCATCACTTTATTTTCTACTTCCAATTATAAATTATTATCATCCAATAATCGAAAAAAATTTATCACAAATGATTAAGCTTCAAAAAAATCTTAAAAAGATTTCATTTAGTCATAATTGCCCTTTGTCTCTACTATTATCATTAAAAAATCCTAATTGTACAAACACATTAAATACAATTATATTTTATTCTATTGATTTTAAGAATATAAATGTTCTGCTAAGTGAATTGTTTAATCAATTGAATGTTTTAGAATCAATTCATATTGTTTATTGTTATCCTCTAGATTCTAAATTTATCCAACAAATTAATAATATTAACTAACCATTTAAATTAAGATCTTTATTTTTGGATAAAATAGATGAATCATTAGAACCATTAATACAAAGATCTGGCAATTGTTTAGAAAATTTTAATATTAACAATTATAAATCACAACAATTATTACAATCACTCAAATTATATTGTAGAAATATCAAGTTTTTATCTATTGAACTACATTATCAGAATGTTGATTTAATATTCAATTTAATTAAAAATATTAGGCAAAATCTTAATTATCTTATTATTAATTCTGATGGTAAAATTAAATTTAGTTTAATTTTATTACATAATTTAGGACAAATTCTTCCTTTTAAATTAGAATATTTGAGATTGGTTCTTGCAATTAAGGGAAGTGATTTAGAAGTATTCTTAAAAAGTTCTCAAAATACTTATATTAAAAAATTGTCAATTAGAAATGCAAAGAATGAAGGAACTAGTCAAGATATTTTACCCTATATAAAAGAATATATAGTGAAAAAGAAAAGAGTTAAATATTTAGCGATTTTAGATGTTTTTTGTGGAAAAAAAGTAGATTTGTTTTCTTTGAAAGATGAAGTAAAGGAATTTCAATTATATGATATTCAAGTTCTAGATTATTATGATTCAATTATTAATATTTATGATTTTATAAATAATAGTTATTGGTTAGCGGGGGTAAAATATCGAGGGGTGACACGATATTTTATCCACCATAACCAATAACTAGATTATTGCGTCAGTCACGCAAGATCATGCTATTATTATAGTAAGAGTATATAAAAAGTATAACTAAACTGCAAATATATTTGATATTTAGCCATTAATAGAAAAATATCAATTATTTAGCTATCAACAAAAAATATCAGTCCGTCAAAATCTGCATGATCCTATTAGACTGACCAATAAAAGAAACTTATTAGTTATTTATGCAATTTGTTTTATATTATCACTATAAAATAAAGTTAGCTTTAATACTTTAAATCTTCTGTACTGTATTACTATTTAAGCATTGAAATTTTACGCTTAAGAATTTAAAGCTCGCTTCATTTGTTGTATTTTAATTCAAATATAACAACTTGAAAATTTAATAAAAAGAAATAGCATAATAATATAAGTAAATTATTTATAATAGGGTAGGTATACTATACAAAAAGAATTTATTTTTTTTTAAATTAATGATAAATGAAATTTTTATATACAGTATATCTCCAAAATAAATTTGAATTTTCAAATTTATAAACTTTTTAGTTATTTTATTAAAAAATATATATATTTGAATTTTAATATTTTACTTTGACTGCTCTCATTTATTTTTTAATCAATTGTAAAATATAATGATAATTACGAAAAGCTCGTTTATTATTAATAGTGAACTATGGGAGATTGGATTGAGCTGGACATGCCTGTAGATAATCCATTTTACAATTTCAAAAGATTTTAAATGGTAAAGTTCACAATTTTCACTATTAATTCCGAACATTAAACTTTACAAGTGAGCTTTTCGTAATTGTCATTATATTTTACAATTAATTAAAAAATGGATGGGAGCAGTCAAAGTAAAATAGTAAAATTCAAATATTTTTTTTTTTTTAATAAAATAATTAAAAAGTTGATAAATTTGAAAATTCAAATTTATTTTTTTTTAAAAAAAAATTCTTTTGGATATATTTTAATTATAAATAATTTAGTTAGATATTATTATGCTACAGTATTTCTTTATATTTAAATTTTCAAGTTGTTATATTTGTATTAAAATACAACAAAAGAAACGAACTTTAAATCTTCCGTACTGTATTACTATTCAATTTTACGCTTAAGAATTTTAAGTATTAAAGCTAGCTTTATTTATAGTGATAATATTAAATAATATAAATTGCATAAATAACTAATAAGTTTCTTTTATAAAATCATAAACACCAATAACCGAATCATAATAATCTAGAACTTGAATATCATATAATTGAAATTCCTTTACTTCATCTTTCAATGAAAACAAATCTACTCCTTTTCCACGAAAAAGATCTAAAATAGCTAAATATTCAACTCTTTTCTTTTTCATTATATATTCTTTTATATAAGGTAAAATATCTTGATTATTTTTATCATACTTTGCATTTCTAATTAACAATTTTTTAATATAAGTATTTTGAGAATTTTTTAAGAATACTTCTAAATCACTTCCCTTAATTGCAAGAACCAAATTCAAATATTCTAATTTAAAAGGAAGAATTTGTCCTAAATTTTGTAATAAAATTGAACTAAATTTAATTTTACCATCAACATTACAGATAATAGAGGAATTAATAATAAGATAATTAAGATTTTGCCTAATATTTTTAATTAACTTGAATATTAAATTAATATTCTTAAAATGTAGTACAACATATAAAAACTTAATATTGCTACAATATAATTCGAGTGATTGTGATAATTGTAGTGAATTACACTTTGTTCTTTTAAAATTTTCTAAATAATTGCCAGATTTTTGTATTAATGGATCTAATAATTCATCCATTTTATCCAAAAATAAAGTTCTTAATTTAAATGGTTTGGTAATATTATTAATTTGTTGAATAAATCCAGAATCTAAAGAATAACAATTAACAATATGAATTGATTCTAAAACATTCAATTGATTAAATAATTCACTTAGAACATTTATATTTTTAAAATCAATAGAATAAAATATAATTGTATTTAATGTATTTGAACAATTGGGATCTTTTAATAATAATAATAGAGACAAAGGGCAATTATGACTAAATGAAATCTTTTTAAGATCTTTTTGAAGCTCAATCATATGTGATAAATTTTTTTCGATTATTGGATGACATTATTTATAATTGGAAGTAGAAAATAAAGTGATGAAATTGAATTGCAATTAGAGCAGAGAAATTCCAAAAATTTTGTTATATTATCAGTTATTTTACCATCAAAATCAAGTGTTAAACTTTTAATATTATAAACGAAATTCGTATTTTGTAAGATTAATTCAAAAGCCGCATCAAAACATTCAAATTCTTCATAGTTTTTTATTATAACTCCAAAACTATGCAAATTTACTTCATTTTCAATGAATATTAGAAATAATGACCTAACAATAAGTCTGTAATAAAGTCTAACATTTGTGTAGTTGGTGAAGTTGGTAAATTTGTATATGCCCACGTTTCAATAGAATTATAAACTTTATATATATCTAAATGTTTAATAAATTTAGGATAATTAAATAATGTATTTGAAGGAAATAAGCCACTATGAATTACATATTCATTTAATCTTTTTTTATCATCATCACTTAAATTACACAAATAAATTTCAATAAAACGATAATTTTTAGGGGATTTAATTGAAAATGGATCTTGCCATAATAATGGAATTGCTAAACGACACCATAATCTATTAACTAATATGCATGAATGTAATGTTTTATAGTCATAATGAAAATATTGTATGACTTCGTTTAATAACTCAGACAAATCTCCTGAAAAAAATTTTGAACATGCCATGTTGCAAAGAAGGGAGGAAAGAAAAGGGATGCCGAAATTACTGGAAGGTTACGCCAAATTTATTAGGAGCGGCAATTCCATTTGTCGCACAAATTAATGTCAAAAAACTCTCCCTGTCGATCCCTCGATCAAATTTTTACGAGAAAAAATGACTTGGGGGAGATATTTTTTTTAGCACCAGACAAACATTACCAACTGATTATTCTCTCTTTTAGGTACATTTTGATACCAGTTTCGTGAATAGTTGATGCAAAGGGCTCGTTACAACAAATTATTCATTTTCATCTCGTTTGCAAAATATAGAACTCAGAAAAGCCAGAGAGTTTGATGTATATCGCAAATATAACCTTGGCGGCGACGAAACAAACGGTTAACGAAACAAAATACTGGAAAATTTTAGTATTATTATCTTCTTTTCACGGCGGCCTTTCGTATACTGGGTTTTGAAATTTTTGTTTCCTGGGAATTTTTCGTCTTGCAACGCAGCACAAAATTTATAGCACGTGGCAGTCGTGGCACTTGTGGCGGGATCCAAAATAGAAATTTTTGTTGTCTCAAGGAACCAATTATTATTTTATCGGAAGATCATATGTAGCATCGCACATAGTTGAAGTCACGTGTTTTCACGTTTCCAACAAAAATACTTTCGGCCAATCAAGGATTATTTTTTTGAACACATGACTCTGGCATCACAAGACTTAGAATGAAAAAAAGGATACCACTATAGTCTATAGTCTATAGGGATGCTTTGAAACTACGGGCTAGGAGCAAGGCGGTCGTCACGAATAATGAGAATATAGAGGTGAACGAGGTTTAAGACGTTAGGAGGAGTTCACGGTTAATACAAATTTATAATTAACAATATGGGGGTGAACGAAACGGTCGAAACGTCGCAAATAAATCAGAAGTTTACGATAGTGCTTCGATCCGGATGAAAACTTGAATATTTTCATGTGGCGATTATGGCTGAGAAAGATTATGAATTTCAGACTTAAACAGACTATAATTTAAACCAACATTAAAGTATTATTATCCCAAAAATTTATGCTAATTCTTGCCAAACTCATAGTGCCAGCGAAATTTAATGAAATTCAATCCGGATGAAAACCTGGATAAAACCGCTACGGATCAAAGCACTAGTTTACGAATATCTGAGTTATAGGGGGAGAGATGTTCTTAGTCCAGGAATAGTAGTTCAGTTTTAAATATGTTAGAATCCTATAGGTTTAGTATTAGTTTTTATATAGATTCATGGGATGATAAATCAGGGTCAAGCTTAGTTTTACCGCCACTCTGCATGGAGATTAGACTCCTTTCGGATTTGCTGCTAGATTCTCGTGAGCTTAGGAGAAAGTGATGCATAAACAACAAAAGACCAAAAAGTTTGTGTCCTGAACGGTATGTAGGGACGCGCAGTGTCGCCAAGTTTTATGCATATAGGTCTTAGTTCGTTGTAATTTTTTTTTCTGTTTTGTATTTGTATTTGTTTATAGATGGATACTTTATTGATGGCATGCTAATAAGTTGTGATTGTGTTTCGCGATAATAAAGTTTATATATAAAAAAAATGTCAAACTTACAGTACATATATTTGCATATGATCACATGATCACTATATATAGTCATGCGATCGTATTTGATTAGCCGTGAATTTTTATTAATACGCAATATTTTATTACCATAAATTAAATAATTATTTTGAATTTTATTGAGTTTCACCTAAAAATCGTAGTAATTTATAATATACAATATATCAAATAAATTGATTAAATCAAGAAAGCAAATGTATCACGATAATCACTGAACATTTGATCTAAGCCTATTTTAACTTTTTTAAACTTTTCAATATTTGTATCTTTCCTTCTTTGTTTTCCCCTTTCCCTTCCCTATCTCCTTTCTCACTTCTCATACCCTCTGTTGAAAAATCCTTACATACATTTTTTAGACTTTTTTTTATTTTTTTAGGTTGTTCTTTCGGCTCTTAGGTATGAAATTTTGGTGAATTGAATTGTTAATTGCTCTTATTTAACAAACGATTAACAGTTCGTTTTCTTTCTGTTTTTAGTTGGTTTTGGGTCATGAGATTTTTATAAAGTAATTTTAGTTTTTTTTTTTAATGAATTTTACTAACAATTCATTTTTTTCAGTTTTTCTTTTAGATTTTGCCGATTTTCTCTGGAAGTGAAACTCGTCCAAAGCTGCAGAAACTAGTAGTCT